TCTCATAAATGAATCTATGTTGCTCTATTCATTTACATTTTAACTTCGTTTAAATTGTTTTTACACCATCATTTTCTCTAGAAAACATGGCTGATACCAGTTGCCATACATACAATTCCCTTCTCCTCCTCCTCCTCCTCTTCCTCCTCTTCCTTCCTTTTCTAATTGTAAATTCTAGAGCATTCGTTTAACCAAAAAGATTTATTTTATTTTATATTTTTCAATTACTAAACATTATAAATTAAATAAATATATCGATTTTACAAGGAAATATTCATATATATATATATATATATTATAGAAAATATTAAATTCTCTGGAAGAGTTTTTCTGGCAGGTAAGCTCGAGGGAGGAAGAGTGATAGTTAATAATATTGGCTTAGATATATGTTAAAATAACGGTCGTACATTAAAAGAGAGTAATGAGAAGCATTAAAAATTCTACGAAAGTGACGAGGAGTCATCCTCATTTGGAAGATTGATTAGGGCATAAAGTCACTCCTCGATTCTCGTTTTCTGCTTGCCATTTCGGGTTATTGATTCCGTCGCTTGACCAATTCGATATTTAAATCCCAATTTAATTGAAAATTCAATTTAATTTGTCATTCAATTATCAACAAATACGTCTCTATATAAAATAGATTTTTATTCCTAATACATACAAAAAAAACCACGCATAAAAGTAAAAATTCTGCGTGCGAATTATTAAATAAAATTACAAAAAAAAAAGAAACCGATTTAACGTTAAAAAATTAACATTTAAAATAAAATAATTACGTGTTTATTAATTTAAAAAATGAGCACGTTAAAGACATTTAAAGTGAGATTTCTCTTAGTTTGAAACATGGCTGACGCGTGTCGCCATCTGGTATTACGCGAATGAATTAAGTTAATATATTATTTATTATTGTAATTAATAAGTTAATTACGTATAAAAATTAAAAATTAATAATTTTTATACTTTTCAAAATTAGATTTAATTCTCAGACTCATTTCTGGATCGATACATATCAATTATATATATTTATCCATCGATCTTAAACCTCTCCTCCGATAAATCCAATGATGATCCTCGTGATCCTCGAATGACTCTCATGTATTAGCTCCTGGAATGACCATCATGAATTAGATTCCTCGAATAATCTCGAATATCCTGATATTCCGATCAGAGAAATTCCCTGATCAAAAATAAGGGATTTCCCTGATTTAGATTTAGGGGTTTTTCCTGATCTAAATCACAAGAGAACTAACGTGTCACAATTAGAAAAAAAAACCCTGTCTCATTGAAATATCATTTTATATATTTGAAGGAAAAGGAAACTTAATTCGTTTTCTATAAATGATATGATGGATGGTAATATAATTATATCATTTGGGGGTTATCAACAGATGACAGTCAAACAAACAGATGATATCTGATATTAAGTTTGTCTGTTTGATGAATGGAGAATTGAATCTTTCTCTCGTTCCCATTTCTCTTCTTTGTATTTGTATCTATTAACCTATTCAGAATAAAAGAATAATCATTCGACAATTGCAATTTGTTTACCATTAATATTTTCTCTATCGACTCTTTAGATAAACGCATGTATTTTTAATTAAACGAAATTATGTATTTAAAATATAAATTTTACATTTACGATATAAAATATTAAATTAGAATTAGAATTATTGTATTTTATAAATATAAAAGTTTAATTAATTCGTGCCTGTAGAATAGAGCAAACTATAAAGATGTCAGTAGGACCATTCTCCCGTCATAAAGGACCTCTAAAATTCACTGTTANAATTTTACATTTACGATATAAAATATTAAATTAGAATTAGAATTATTGTATTTTATAAATATAAAAGTTTAATTAATTCGTGCCTGTAGAATAGAGCAAACTATAAAGATGTCAGTAGGACCATTCTCCCGTCATAAAGGACCTCTAAAATTCACTGTTAGATGTAAATTAAAGTCTTTTTTTTTACGATAAATGATAAAGAATCTGTTGTTCTGTTTTATTCGTATGTTTGGGAGGCCCTTAGAATTCGGACCCTAGGTAGATTCCTTTTTTTATTTATGGTATAACCCGGCATTCTCCGGGCCTCATTTCACCTGTCTCAAGCAGTGTTAACTCTAGCATTAATTAAATTTGTTCATAATAAATCAATTTTCCCTTGGGCAATAGCCCACGTGTCGCTTTGTCGTATACAAACAAATAATAATTCAGAATAACCTGATAATTAATTTTCCAAATTCGACATTAATTAGAAAAATCTATGTTGATGTAATTTGTACGAGTATAAGCAATGCCCAATGCCATCGTATGTCTGATCGAACGATTTCTGTAGTGTAGAAGGGCATATAGATCTACACTTTTTAAATTATAAATCATACTGATTATGTTTAATCATAATATAAGTACGATTTATAGTTTACTACCGCCTTCCTGAAATACGTTATTGCCACAGTTAAAACAAAAATGATAATTTGTACCCACATCAGAGCTGTATGTGCTATGTGATGGCCTTGTAAGTATTAACTGTAGACTGACCCACAGTGGGATCAAGCCAACGAGCTAGAATATCTAGAAGGTAGTTCATTTGTCTTCAAATATGATGCCTTTACAGATGTGAAGGCGCCATATTTGAGGAACATAAATTGCCCTCTAGATATGTGAAATACTTTCACAGTAAATTTCAGAAAACCTGTACTTTTAGGCAATACATGCTTATTACTTCTGAATACATTTTCACAGTTTTAATGTCAGATCGCGCATATCCAGAGGATTGCAAACGGGGTATTTTCCCTCCCGTGGAATCGAGTAAAACATTCCTCATATTATAATGGTAAAAGTGATTGAAATATTCAACTTCACACTTTCGACCAGTGCTTCATGGGGACAAAAAAATTTGTATTAGGAAGTCCCATGTATCTTACAGTGTTAACTTCAGATATTTTTCTTCGGGGGAATTTCTTTAGGAAAATATTTTCTTATAAAAGATTAGTTTTGGATCCCTTATTGGTGGAGGCCCCAAACAATTGCCCTCTTTGCCTATAGGATAATGCGCCAATGCACGGGACTGTATTTGATCTATTTTCTGTATTCTACTGTATTCTATAATCTATTTGCGAAAACAACCAAAAATTAAATAATTATATAAAAATATATATTGAATATCATTAAACTGTTGATTATTTTCTGTACTTGGGCTGCAATTTGAAAAAATTATAGCCCTATAAATTTCCCACTGTTGTCTGTCTTTCCTAAATATCGAGAACGGTGTTAGATAATTGAAATTCAAGACAACATATGGAAAGCTTAGGTGTAGGAAGTCCCGATTAACTATATGAGAATTCCCGATGAAAACCGGAATTCACGTCATTTCAATTCAAAACTTTTCTCACGAAAGGAATTAGATAGATGACCAGCACGACTCCATTGCTAAAGGAAAAGTATGATGTACAGGGGCAAGCCACTACTAATTTGAGGTGGAGAGCATATAATTTAAATTAAATAAATTAAAAAATATTACTAAAAATTGCAGCATTGTAACCATGTCACAATAAATAATTGCTCGTTTGATATATGTATTTATCTTCAAAGCATAATGAGTACCATCATTTGTCTTGTTTCGTGGCACTACTCCCGCTGTACATTTGTTAGTTAATTGTTTATCCTTACGAGGAAATCTGTATAAAAAAATTAGACTAGTAAAAGAAAAGGTTATAGAATTAAAACGTGCGTATATTGTAATTGATATAACTCCATACCTCTTAATTCTGTTTATTTTAATTAGTGAATATATTTAAATACTTTCAGAATAAATAATTGTAGAAAAATAAACGTGAAATTCTCTTTATAAAAATATATTTTTAATGTGAAATGGGCCTATTTTTTCAGGTTCAAAGCTAACAATCCTACGGTTTTTTCTCGTGTGTGATTTTGTATCGAGCTTACAATACAATTGATTGCATCTTATATATTACACTGTATTAACATTAAATATTTCACTAGTTTGTTAATTAAAATAAGAGTTATGGAAGAAATTAGCATATATTATCAAACATTCCAGTAATATTATTTAATATGAGATTTCTTATTATATGAATCACTTAATCCATTGGTTTTCATGATATTCCGACAATTTATTTAAATAAATTACTGGGCATCAGGTGTATCACACATAGCAAAGTAAACCTACTATGAGAAAAAGTTAAAAATCATCGATCAACTCATGTATTTATTTGTATTCGTTGATAATAAGGCCTCAGGAGGTTTATTCTTAATATTCTTTAGCCTTTAATTTTGAACAAACTTTATCTTTTTACAATTAATATATATCTATCTTATAATAACAAATTTTAATCGGAAATAATTTAATAATTAACTTATATACTCCCGTTTATACATAAGTTTTATTAATTTAAATATCCGAAGAATCATCTAGCAAACCTTTAAATAGAAGAGGAGGAAAACAGAGGCACATCCGACCAGGTTATTTACCCCTCCGCACAGTTTAAAATCTCGAATTTTTTTTTCTAATACGCTAATTTATTAATTTTAAATAAATTAATAAATACATAAATATAATAATTAAAAATTGCAATTTATTCGAGTTCTTTTATTAAATTCACTACAAAAATATCAATAAAATCCTGTATTTAAAGATTGATTCTTGAGTGAGGTAAAACAAGATCCAACCCAGACGTTAGTTTTTGGGCCTCAGAGGGGGTTCCACACTTTTAAATTTATAAGAAAATTTGATATAATTTCAATTACTACCTTTATTATCGTGAAATTCTTCCTAAAGATGCCTTAAATTTAATTATTAACCAACAGGAATCCTACCAAACTGGGTTGGATACCGCACGGCAATGCATTTAATTCTATTGAAATTAGTGTAAAGAATTATTTTTAAATATTATAAAAACATTCTCGTATTTGTGTTTGTAAATTAAAAATTAATTATAATGACGATTATTACTTTTATATTAATAAGATAATCCAGTTTGTCTTCCAGTAATTGCGCTTGCTATCTTATTACATTGTTGTTACTTGAGGGTGACGTAGAAAATGCTTTCGATCGTTTTTTCTTTTTGAATTGAATTTCATTTTATTCGCGGGAATGACGGCATTTGACGGAGTGTACCTGTACACTTCGGTAGTTTTCCATTCTCTCTCGTCACTACTCTTTGCGTGTCCCATTGGCCGAGTGGAAAACAACTAAGTTATGTCGGTCGATCATTGGAAACTGTCCATTACGCCAATCCACGAATGTCACACATCCGTAACGCAGTATCTACTAAAGCTACTTTACTTGTCTATTCCTATCGAAATATACGAGAAAGGTAAGATTTAAAGGGCATTATCCCATAGAAAGATATTCTTTAAATATTTTATTGGTAAATTCTTTCATTAAATATGCATTGTTTAGTTTGGCAGAATGATCTCGTGTCGATATTATCTTAATTTTTATAACAATTTCGAAGAAAGGACTAAGAAATTGTGGAGAGAAGCGGATGCGGTATGCTTCGATGTAGATTCTACGGTTTGTAAAGACGAAGCTATCGACGAATTAGCGAAATTTGCCGGGAAAGAAAAAGAAGTTGCAGAGAAGTAAGACACTATTCTTGTATTTATTTATATTCTATGCTTTATAAATTACAATTGAGTGATACTCTCTTCTGTAAATATCATATCAAACTTTGAGAAAACTTGATACTTCTCTTCATATTTATTATACAATAATATATATATCAGGGATAGGGTGGGATGTGTGTGCTGTTATACAAATATAAAGCCTCACCCATCTCCAAAAGTCATTAAAAAAATACCTGAATAAATGCAATAAACAGTTAAAAACAGATTTTCATCACTTATATATTTTTTTTAAATATAAAATATCATTTTGGGCACTGAGTCAAATGGTCCAGATATTTTGTTTCAATAAAATTCATGACTAAAAACCAATTTATTCTGGAAAGACATTATACTTAACAATCCCATAGATTCTACACTTTATTTTAATATGTTGGTTTCATTTTACATCTGGTTTTACCTGTTGCAGAACCACAATATTCTTTATTATTATAGACCATACAGTAATAAATTTGAAAAATTAATTTTATTTCATATTTTAAATATATTTTTAACATGGAGATGTGCAAAAACTTTATCAATAATTATTTTTAAAATAGTTTCTAGATTATTTATTATTATTAAAAATCTTTCCTGTATTATCAGTATGCAATATTATAATGTAAACTGTACATTTTCTAGATGAGATACGTAAGGAAAGACATGAAATTCTATCACAATTCTTGGTGATTTATTGATAAAATGACATTCGGTTATTAAATATTTATACATTATAACTATTTACTCCGCTACAACACTTTTGATATCGATTTATTATCCAATAAATAGTTAATTCTAATTGTCAATGTTTAAAATGCTCGCATAATAGTCAATTATCGACGAATCAAAATATAGGATATTCAGATATAATTGCGCGTATACCGAAAATCGATTTAAATAAATAATTATACAATTAAATCAATCCAATATAGAGATATAAAAATTGTATTTTCTTTACTTCAATTTAGCATCTTTTAAAGAGCAACAATTAGGAGAGGAATCCGGAAGAGGAACATTAACCAAGTTTAAGAAGAATCTTCTCTCATAAATGAATCTATGTTGCTCTATTCATTTACATTTTAACTTCGTTTAAATTGTTTTTACACCATCANTACTTAACAATCCCATAGATTCTACACTTTATTTTAATATGTTGGTTTCATTTTACATCTGGTTTTACCTGTTGCAGAACCACAATATTCTTTATTATTATAGACCATACAGTAATAAATTTGAAAAATTAATTTTATTTCATATTTTAAATATATTTATTAAAGACCTTTATATGTTCCTACTAATGATTCTAATGCAGAAAGGAGCATTTTTTTATTCTCTGCTAGTAAACAAATTGGAACTTGAATGCAATAAATAGAAGCATAATAGAGCAATACAAATCTGGAATGAAATATATCTTTTAAGTTTTTCCCTAAATAAAATTGTGTGAAATTATTTTTAAAAGTCCTTAAGTTGTTGGGATATTGTGAAAATTGTATATAAAAAAAATCTAGGTTGAAAAATTACTTAAAAATATATAGAAGTATAATTTGAAAGAACACAAAAATAACTGGATCTTTGTGTTCCTGTGATATGAGGAAGAGGCATTAAGAAGACTGCAGATTCTTTTTATATCTGTCTTTGAAACAGAATTATATCAAATTAATGCAGAAATACAAGAAAAATAATGCAGGCTAAGAGCAAATATTGTCTTTATTTTTACAATATTCTATACACTTTTAGATTTATACATTTATTATATTTTAATTTGGAAAAAAAGTCACACAATGGAGGTGTTGAAATAAAATGAAACTTTATTAGTGCAAATCTGATGATTATGGTAATAATTGATTACAATATCTTATTTACTATGAAACAATGATACTAAAGGTTCCTTTTAAATTGTATCTTGTAGGGTCTCCTCTTGCCTGGATGTACAGTGATATTATTGGGTATGGATGCATACAGGCACCACATGCTATCCTGTGACATATTTGTCCACAGATGTTGCAACTGTTGTCCTAGATCTGTCATACTCGTAGATAGATGAAGCTGCAATCCTGTCTGGTCCCACAAATGTTCAATGAGAGACAACTCTGGAGACTGGGCAGGACAAGGAAGTGTGGCAACATGACCGAGACATTCCTTGGAAACAATGCCACACTTCTTTGGTCTGTCCAGTCTTTAGATTTGTCTTCCTTAGGGCAGGACTGTTTGCAACCCTGCCATAAAAAGCAACACATAAGAATGCATGATTTCATAAATGTATCACTATGTCATCAGTGTACCTCATACCATTAATCTGACTTGACAGTAGGCAGTAGTTGACTGTAAGCACGTTAGCTGCAACAAATTTATGATCATTTGCATGATAATTTTTAATACTTTCTTAATTTTTCTTTCTTTTGACATCCTTCTGCCAGCTCTGAGTTAATTATACTATTCTATACACTAATTTATATACCAGTTTAACCTTTTTTTTTTTAAAGGAATATCTTAATTAAAAATTCATCATGTAGACATATAGCTTTAAACTTAATTTCAATATAAATATTTATTATTAATTTGTTTATTTTTTTTAAACAATAAAAATCATTAATTTTATTGCTATTAAATTAAAGGACACAGAAAGCGATGAGTGGTGGGATGACATTTAAAGAGGCTCTTCATCAACGTTTAGAGTTAATCCAGCCAACTGTAACTATGATTCATGAATATTTATATAAGCATCATCCTAATTTCACTCCAGGAATCAAGTAAGTACTTCAATTCATTATTGTATCTGAATATTTGTGTTGTTAAAGAAATATTTCAAGATTTATATTACTAAATCCAGACATTTATTAATATTTTGCTTATTATAACATCATTTACATTTGCTTATTATAACATCATTTACAGATAACATTAACCAAAAGTTTTGTTAAATGTTATCTGTAAGCGAATTAATTCTATTAATTTACAGACAATTTATCTTTTGTTTAAATTAATTTTGTTTAAATGAAATTAAAAGATCATTTAGTTAAAAGAAATGCTAAAAAGTTTAGCACTTCTTAGCTTCGTCTTAACTTTTTATCAAATACTTTACTCCCTGAATGTAAATTCAATTCAAACTGCTTTACTTAGAGTAAAATCTTCTTAGAAAACTCAAGTGCCTTCAAGATTTATAACCATCATTGAAGTTAACAAGAGAAATAAAGATCAAGAGGAGACACTAGATCACTACTAGCATTACCTTTTCAATGGTCTATTGTGTGTAAAGCCTGAAAGTGGTTAGTTTCCTAAAATGTTTTCACTGCAGGAAAAATAGTAAATTTTTAAAATTCAATTGGAAGAAGTTATCAAGCTTTGATTATATACAAAATCAATAAAATTATTATAAGTTTAAATCATTTAGTTTAGTATGCTTATATATTTTCATATACAGTTTATTTAGTAACAATTACTTGCCACTATTGCATCAAATTTGGGATGATAAAAAAAAAATTGTATGACGTTCATGAATAACATAGATATTGATTTTAATGTTAAAAAAATAAATTCTTGATACAGACTATCGAAGATCATATTTAAAAAAAATTATCAGTCCTCCAATGAATTGCAAAATATTTGATTTTACTTTATACACATTTTATTTTTAATAATACAAAATAATTTAAAATTGAGTTGGTGATATTGAATAATAATTTCATATTCTACATTTTATCCAGATACATTTTTAGACTTTCATCAAACCTCAGTAAGCTGAAAGCTGAATCTTATGAACAAGTTAGTTCGTAAGCATAAAGTTTTAATCTTTTGCAATCATCAACAAGCATAGTGCTTTTAAGAAAAATGTTTACTAGATGACTCAAACTACTAATTGAGTGTTTTGGACACTATGATGGAAACACAATATAATTCTTTCTATGTTTTCTGCATTTGTTGTATGTCTACCTTGTGGGTGACCTCTTAAAATACTTCTGTTTCCAGCAACTAGTTGATTCCACTTATGAATGCTTTTGTCACTGAAGCATTCTTACAACATGCTCGCCTGACATTCCTTTTGGCAACAGTTATAGACTTTGTTTCTGGGAACAATAATATACACTGTGCTTTTTCTTATGATGATGCCTGTACAATGGTGCTATTTAGTAGAAAATAGGCTCAAAACACTGTTTTTATTCAAATACCCTGAATTTCAAACAATTATTTATTAATTAGAGAGAGAAAATGACAAACGTTTTTTGAACTTCTCATCAAATGTCTCTATTGCTTGTTATTTTCTGTATTTTCAAAAGTCTTCTTATCTTTCAGCTTTTTTTAAAACCAAGTAGTTACTGAAATTAGATCCATATCAGTTATAATGTATCATTCTGACATGCTAGATCCATCATTCTTTTCAGAAATTACAATAGAGTTAAAAATAATCTTGATTTAATGCAGTAGTTTCTAAGATGGCTTCACAACTAGTATAAGAATGCTCTATCTGTATGCTGCAGTTGCATTTGAATTCCCATAATTTATCATGGATAAATTACAAGAATTCAGATGCCAACTAAAAGACAAAACTATTCTTCTGGTGCCTCCTTGTTTGATACGTCAAATTTCCAAGACTGAGTTGCTGGTAGCATTGATATCCAAATAATGGTTTAAAATAAAATTTTTTTTACTATTTATAAATAGTTGTGTGCAATAAATTAGAATTAACTTTTATTGATTTCAATTTCAGTAATAATTAAATTTGTTTTTGTAGAGATCTAATCAGAATACTCCACAATAGACAGATTGCAGTCTATTTGATATCCGGTGGCTTCTATACATTGTTAGAACCAATTGCTAAAGAATTAAATATATGTTTAAATAATGTGTTTGCTAACAGACTTTTGTTTTATTTTAATGGTAAGTAATTTTTTTTTAATATTTTTGAATGTATAACAAATTGTTAAAACTGTTTTTAGATAAAATAAAATACATAAAATAGATTTTTTTTGTATATATATCATTGCTAATATAATCCAAAGTTAGTTTTTTAAAAGAATTGAAAGCCTTTATTAAATTTATGAATCTTTTAAGATTTGTGAATGAATAAATTCTCAGAGTGTCAATGGGCAGAACCTGCAATGTTTGCATTTAATGTTCACAGGAAAAAAAGCACTTATGTTGCCATTATACATCTATGATCTGGTGAACAATTGCTAATCGTTATTACATTTTATAAGGATAGAACTTACTTATGCATAATATAATGAGGAGCTATTGTATATTGGTGGACAAACAAACAATGTATCTATGCAGCCATTTTCTGTTTTTGATCTTTATGCCAACTTACTTTTTGTGGGTTGTATTTTATACAATAGTAATTTTAAGGTCAATGATTGGATGTTAGTAGAAATTCAATAGCAACCATTTTTTTTAAAAATTCAGCAATGAGCTGCTTAACTTTTCCAGCAACATTTAAAACTGCATGTGATGCTATCTGTTATTTTTTTATTAAAAAAAAAGCTTCTTATATTTTTAATTTTTATAAAATGGCAAAAAGGATAATGATGGGTTTTACAAAAAATTGTAAATGCTAATTATGAGTAGAATCATCAAGTCTAACCCTACTTGAGATATGACAATAAGCACAGGAGTTAAGCTTCAAAGAGGGTGAACAAAATTATATCCCCCCACACACACAGAAAAAAACTTGCCGAAATATTTTGCATTTCTTGATGTTTTAAGGTCCCAAGTCAAAAAATGTAAAAATCTTGAGAGGGTTGTTCTTTGATAGATCATCATACTTTTCCTCTGTTATATATAAGAGAGCCAGGAAAGTAATTATTGGCTAATGTGCTTTTATATTTGGAGTAAAAAACGTTTGGAAACAAAGAACTGCTGTAGTTCTTTCAGATTAAACTTTTAGGAATTTTACCAGATTTTTTATTTCTCAGCACAAAATATTTTATCTATAATAATTACCCAGTATATAATTTTTTTAATATTGTAGACCAATGCTTTGTAACAAGATACATTTCTATTGGGATACATTTTGAGTACCCAATTTTTTTATTGACTATTGTAGTGTGGTATTCTATTCCTATAAATTTAGTTTTGAACTATAAAACTTCAATTTATGATATTATCTATAGAAAATTATTTTGGTTCTTTGAAAACCATCATTTTCTGCTATTTAGTATTATAGTTAATAAAATGTTTTTTTAGTACAAAATTCATAAGATGCACAGTTTGTTTTATTTGATACTTCAACTGTTCAGATTTCTGTTTGATGTTTTTTCTTTTTTCTTTTCAAATAGGTAAATATGCTGGTTTTGATGAAAATCAACCTGTTTGTCATCAGAATGGAAAAGCTGAAGTAATAAGTTATCTAAAAGAAAATTATGGCTATCAGAAAGTTGTAATGATTGGAGATGGCATTACTGATTTAATGGCTTGTCCTCCAGCTGTAAGTTACCAAGATTATATATATACATATATGTAATTATAAAATAAAAACAATGCAAAATTTTTAAAATATTAAAAACGATGTAAACTTTCTAAATTTTAACACTTAATGCTTTCTATTCTGGCATAGTATTTATATAAGGTGGCTGAGAGCTGGAGATTTTTCTTGGTCCCAGAGAAAACATGGGCCCTGTAGTAATTCCTAACTCTTTAAAATCAAGATTATATTTTCTTTAGTAAAAATATTAATAAAAAGCAATCTTTAATGTTAAAGAAACAATTTTACATATTTCATTTTTAAAAGAGCCTGCTAAGAGGCAAAACGACCTGCTCTACTCCCTGTACAAGCTCTTGACAGCCCTGCTGAGATTCATTAAGATCTAGACATAAAGTTGTGTCTTGTTAGTGTGGTGAGTGACCACTATGTTTATAATCCTGAAATTAGTAGGTGAGATGGCTAAGATGGTAAATGTATCAGCTTGCCATTGAATTGGAGCCAGAAGTTTTAATGTGAGCATTGTGAGCATGATTGAAAGTTGCCTTACTCATTAGTAGCTTCATTAGTAGCCTCAGGATGGAAATCCTGAGGCTACTAAATAAAAAAAAAATCAAATATTAGATGAAGATCCAGGTGACCTAAATGATAATACATCTGCACAATAAACAGAATTTGCAGGTTTGAATACTGTTTCAGATTAATAATTGAACTTTTCTTCCAGAATATTCTATAACAATTATTAATCTTGTACTATGGTAGTTAAGGATATTAGGCTAATTATTGATATGAAGATAAATCTGAAATGACAGATTATTTTGAGATTTATTGTGGAGAATGAATTGCTACCAAATTCACATTTAGTCTGATCAACACAATTAAGAACAGAAGATACATCAATTAAACATTTCCTTTTCTTAAACAAAAGTAATAGTATTAATTCCAACTTAAAGGTAGATAGAAGAACTCCAACAATACAATACTGACAATCTCTCCCAAATAATTTTGGGCTACTATGCCCATTTTCAGGAGAATGCGACCTTTAGTCTGTAAAAGATAATTCTATCTAGTTCTTATTTAAATTTGTTCCACTAAAAATTCCAAAAGCTCACTGCTTTGTTTTTTAGAACAGTTGAACTTTTGAAACTGATATTTTTAATCATATTTTACTTCTAACCCTCTAATTTTTTTTCTAATAACCACTTCCAAGTCATTGATAACAATTCTCGGTTCCTACTCTTAATCACATCTTTCCTTAAACTTTCTCTACTTGATCTAACCTCTCTAAGCTCTTCTAGAATTTTTGCTGTTCCATTCTATCTTCAAATCTGTCTGTCAAGTGGCATTCTAGAATTATCTTTTACAGACTAAAGATTGCACTCTCTTGAAAATGAGTATAGTAGCCCAAAAATACTTGGGAGAGAATATCAGTTTTTGATGTTAGAAGCACTCCAGCAAATTATATTAAAGGAAATTAATGATTATTGTAAAAAAATAGCTATTGAGAATTATGAGAATTGAAAAGTGAATAAATGAATTTATCTAACATTAAAAATTTGGAAGGAAATCTGACACAAAATAAATAAAACGATGTTTTAAAATGTTTTTAGTAAATTTTATTAATTTTACTGTATTTAAAATATAATAAGTTTATTCATTAATTTAGAAGTAATTGTTTTCCGGTTGATTATAAAAGATAAAAAATTCAAATCCTTTTATGTGAAAATTTTTGCTTACATTTGATTATAAAAGAAAACAGATTTATGCTTAATAAGAATAATTTAATTAATTTTAATTAATTTTACTGTAAATATATGGATTTACTGTATAACTAACAAGCTTTTATTGAAAATCTTAATTGTTATTTTTATCTTTTTAGGGTTGAATGAATTGGGTTACTGAGAAACAAGTAATCTCAAAATGGATATAGATCCAGCATAATTAAATGAATTATAACACTGTTTATATAGAATATTGAATTTTTTTAGATTAAATTTTTACAATTGATTTAGAAAATAAATAATTAAAAGTATTAATTAAATTTGTATATTTAATAGGATGGTTTTATTGGATTTGGAGGAAACAGCAAGAGAAATATCATTAAAGACAAAGCCGGATGGTTTGTTACAGATTTTTACGAACTGATCGAAGAACTACAAAACTAAATTTAGTATTATTTTAAGAGAAAACTTTCTTGTGATATTTATTATATAATTAGTATTTACACAATTTTATTTTTAATAAAAACCAGTATTAACAAAATATGATTGCACCTGCACTCTTTGAGTGTGTACTGTATGACCTCCTGTGGAGGCAATATTAGCTTTTGGAAAGCCAACATGTAATTTCTTTATTAATCATTTTAGATGTTGTAGTAGTAAATGTACCTTTTAATGGGATTGTTTCATTTGCTTATTATCTGTATTTTTTAATAAAATTATTAAATTAATTCAACACTTAGTTTTCTTAGATATACAAGCTCCTATGAAACCTCTCGTAAGCCAAAATAGTATTAAAGTGAAGAAACGAATGCTCATAAAGTTTTCCTACATAAATTAATTTTGACTCTGAAGTATTATTAACTCATTAAATAACACATATAACCTACAATAACATATAGTTACTACATTAGACATAACCTGTAAACTATGAAACTTTCTGGTCTCAAGAACTAATCAAAACCCTCCTTGACTATCTTTAAATTCAACTTTTGCAATATTTTCATCATCATCAATTATTTCTGTTTCAGCTTATTGAAAAGACTATCTTACTTAAGAAGAAATCAGCCACTTAATGGAATGCCACATTTTGTACACCAATTAAAACGGAGAGAGTATTTGTTGAGTGGATTATCATTTTATTTTTTGCTACTGGATGCACAAAATAAATTGACCAAAAAACACTTTGGAAGCTTGATGCTGAATGTAGTTTCCAGGGAAGGAGCTTTGAGATGTCTCACTGCTTGAGGTGCATAATGCCTCTAAAATGGCACTGCAAAACATCCCTAAATGCTAGTTTGCTTTTTGCCTTTTATACTTTCCAGGCTTTATGTATACATAACAAGGGAAAGTATTGGAATTGTGTCAAATTTGATCCTCAAAGTGTTTTGCGAATCTCCAGATTTTGAGACTTCCTGAACCCAAAAAGTAAAAAAAAAAAACAGCAAAACAATTTCCGCATGTATGTGTTGGTCTATTTTGTTTTTTGTTTCTTAATCTTTCCCCCATTCTGAGATATTAAATTTGGCATGGCTTGTGTACAGGGGTGATGCTATTAAAATTTGGTGATTAAATATTGAAGGGGTAGGGAGCTAGAGGATTATCATATGTTATATCTCAAGTGGAGTTGGACTTGATGTTAGTCTTCATTAAGTCCAGCCTCACCTGAGATATGCTATTACCATTTACAATATTTTATGAAACTGATTACTACACTAAGCTTTTTATTTCAATAATTAAAAATATAGAAAGTTCTTATAACAAAATTTCATAACAGATAGCATCCACACACAACTTTATTATATTGTAATTAAAAATACAAAATAAAATCTCATAATAGCTGGGAAAGTTATGCAACTTGTTGCTGGATGCTTTCTAAAAGTGAAAATAAATCCTCTTTGGGTTTCTTTCAGTTAGCAAAAAAGAGGTACTAATATAGGTCTTTCATAAATCAGATCTTTCATTTAATTCAATTGATATATTACTTAATAATAAAATTCTTCACTACATTCAAACTCCATTTGTACATTTTTCCAAGTTAATGTTAAATATTTTCTACATGGAATCAGTGCTGGCCCAAGGCAAGTTTTAGGATGGAGCGACATCCTATTATCGCACCCCCCTTGGTTGCCCCTAATTTATACCCTTTAATTTTCTTTACCATTGAGGTGCCCCATAGCACTTAGCACCTGGAGCAGCTGCTCTGTTTGCCCTATGGTAGGGCCGGCTCTGCATGGAATTTTCTCAATTATAAAACATTTCAGTTATATGTTTTTTCTTTATATGTCATATTTTCCACTGCTTTTTATCTCTTATGTGTTATTCACTTTAAAATGGAAAAATTTAAAGTGATAATTAAAAAGTGAAAAACAAATTATGTATTCACTTAAAAGCTGATTGCTGCATAACCAAAGAGGATACAATCAGCCTTATTGGGGGTTATTTTTTGACCTATCACTGTACTAACAATTTAACTCAAAATTTAACACTTTTATATTGTTTTTATTAATTTGGCAATTATTGGCAATTAATAAAAATATAAAAGTGTTACATTTAGAAAAAGACCCATATAAAAGGAAATTTAAAGAACACACACAAATCAAAAAACACCCTAAAGATAACTTAATTAATATTTCAGAAGGCATATCAATAGACCCCCAATGGTATAAAGTAATAGAGAGCACTGCCATGCGTTAAAGATTGTTTAAAAGTACACCCTGTTGTACGGAATGTTAGGAATGGTTTAAATAACATTACTTGTCGGTATACTGTTACTCTGTGAACACCGGATAACACCAGTTGTCAATTTTTACCGTTTCATCTTTTGTTGGGAATAATACATATTAACTAAAAATGTAAGTGTTCATAGATACTTTGAAATTAATAATCTGTGTTATATTTTTTATATAAATGATGTGTTAAACAGCAATGCTCTTTACATTTTTCATATTATAGAAAATAATCATACAACTATGTAATAAAAATATAGTCACACAATTCTATGTTGTACCATTATATGACATGCAAGTTTTTTATTTTATTGTTTATTCCTCTTTTTTTTTACATCATACTTACCAATGTCATGAAACTCACCTTGTTTTTTTGTAATTTTAACAGCACTCAAGAGGGATGATGACGTTCATGAATAACATAGATATTGATTTTAANTTTTTTATATAAATGATGTGTTAAACAGCAATGCTCTTTACATTTTTCATATTATAGAAAATAATCATACAACTATGTAATAAAAATATAGTCACACAATTCTATGCTGTACCATTATATGACATGCAAGTTTTTTTATGTTATTGTTTATTCCTCTTTTTTTTACGTCATACTTACCAATGTCGTGAAACTTACCTTGTTTTTTTGTAATTTTAACAGCACTGAAGAGGGATTGGAAATACAAGCCAACCCAAAATGCATCTGAATTTAAAAAAGTGTTTTAAATAAACCGTAATGTTTTTCTAACTAATTGCTGTTTGATCATCTACCAAAATTATTGTTTGGATTGCAAGGATGCTACACACAAAAATTGTTTTATTCTGTTTTAAAATTTTCTTACACCATATCCTTTCATTAGGTGAACCATTCAAAGTTTATCCTTCCCCCATTTAAAGTTTGGTTACTCTGTCATGTATCGGGTAACATTATAACAAAACGGAAACATCACAAATACGGAGCTAGACAAAACACACATGTGCAATCACATACATCTGGCACTCCACTATGTCACATGCAAGTGGTCTATACATTACACTATATAATGTGAGATGACTGTTCATGTTTCATCTGCTATCTACTTTACAGTTAAATTACAATACTGTATATAACAAACTCAAAATATCAAAAAATCCTGCAAAATTTATTGAAGAAAACTAACATTTTCAACCATGTTTAGTGATCATCATCAGATTAGAATAAAAGAACTGGAATTTTAACATAAATTTCAAACTCTAAATCCGGAACCTGTTACCAGTGTAATTTGCGTGAAACAACCTTCCTTTCACAAACATTTTCAAGCTGTCGAGGTAGCTCTTCTTCAGATAGAGAAAATTCCAACGGAATACTTCAAAAAAAATGGAATGTAGATATTTAAACAAAAAACCAAATTGAAAAATGGAATGTAGATATTAAAACAAAAAACCGAAAGCTCGTATAATGGAAATCATCGAGACGGTCATGCACATTCGTGCACTGATGTTGATATTTAAAGATTGTCATTTAAAACGTTTGTGAAAGGAAGGTTGTTTCACGCAAATTACACCGGTAACAGGTTCCGGATTTAGTATTTCACCCCCGGTGTCAAAGAGAGATTGAATTTGTTATTTAAATTTCAAACATGTCAAGCATACATTTAGTTGGACATGGTGGCAATTTTCATTACTGCTGTTTACAAATGAAATCCTTTTATTAATCAGCCTCCAAGAACCCATGCTTGTGATAAAGTTTGTAATCCTTATAGTTTATAGCTATGTTCTGTCTCTTAGCTCTAAGCTCCTAAGATGAGCCATGTCAATGGAGAGATATATGAGATGTTGACTGTGTCCAATCAAATGCTTGTTTGATATGTTTGAAATTTAAGTTTGAATTCCTGTTCTTTTATTCTATCTGACTACTATTAAAAGTAGTTGAAAATATTCCATCTTGTTGAACTTCCATCCTCAATTACAAATACTGTATTCTAATACAGAGAAAGATTCATTTTTAAGTGGTCATAACAAGAACTTATTGGAAGGGTTGATATGAAATTAGAGACTTGATGTTCCAGTCCAGTAGTCTTTATGAGAGATATTCTTTAAGAGGGGTCTCACTGTATTTTTAATTAAATGAAATGAAACAATGAAATTCAGGGCAGAGTAAAAAAATGAAGATCATTTGGAAGAGTAATATTACAATTAAATGAATAAATTGCTAGCACAATCAAGAAGCAAATCAAATATTTCATTGACCTTTTATTTATTTTTCATATACTCGGCAAGGTATTATGGTTTAAATATTTTTGCCATTTTTCATCAATTGCTTATGTGAAATATCTTATTTAATAGTTATGAATATTTCTGCAACTTTGAACTTAGCATCTTAAGTTAATTTGGAGTTGTTTTTATGAACATTCCACTATATTTAAAACACATTGAAAGCTTGAAAATATTTGAAAAAAGTTTTAACTTTAATTCAACATACAATATAAAATAGAAGTCCATAAAATCACAAAATAAATACTAAAAAATAGAACAGAAACCATCAGCTTTAAGAATGCTAAAAAATATTAACTATTTGAGCATTTCTCTTATAATTTCATAACTTCTATCATGTACTGTTTATTGAATTAAAGTTAACATGCAAATGATAAGAATTTTTTGCTTGAATAACATCTGTAGGAAGTATTCCAATACTCTCCACCTTTATATCCAATACCTTTATATTTTAATAAATTATTTTTGAACTTCTTGTAAGTTTTGTATTTTATTCTTTCAAGACGGCTTTTAGGTGGTCTGAAAATTCTAGGAACTGATGCTTATTTCTTTTTTGACTTCAATATAGTAATATTTTGTGTGTTAAAAGTATTTTTGTTCATAAATAGTTTAAAAGTAGTCCTTGTTTATAAATAGAATTTATTAATAAATCCTATAATAATAACAGTATAAAAGTCCTATTTATAAACAAGATCTAAATGGAGAGTACGAAAACAAAAATTTGTAATATTAAGGTCATAGAGGTATAAAGAATTAGTTTAAAAGTCGTTTTTAAATTAAAAAAAAACTATTAGAAATTAAAATGTGTAATTTATTAATATAAAATCAAGTGTTTTTTTAACACCTGATTTTATATTAATAAACTAGCTGTCACTCGCAACTTCGCCTGTGCGGATTTTGCAAGCAAACACCATTTATATTCAGTATTTTAACAACCATAGTAATTGCTATATAACATCTACCACTGAGAATGAGAATTGCTGAGAATCAAACAAACTGTTTTCAATTTGATCAATTTTCTGGAACGTTTACAATCGTTCTATAATCGAACCAATATGCAATAACAAATTCAAATTTAAAACAGTTTGAACATTTGGTTAAAAAATCAAAATATATAAAAATATTTATAACAAAGTCTGAAAAGTTATCAAATTAATACACCTAAGTACTCAATGAAGAATAAACATAGTTGAAAACAAAAAATCGCATCTAAAATAGTACAGTAGAAGCCGTTCTTCAGGTTAAGCCTTAATCCTTTCCCTCTCCCCCCACGGGGGAATTTTGAAAAATCCCTTCTTAGTGTGCATTTTCATGACGTACCCTAACCGTGTACAAAATTTCACCTCTAGGTTCAGCGGTTTGCTCTGGGCGATGATGAATCAATCAGTCAATCACTGTCAGTCAGGACAAGTAATTTTATATATTTAGATTACACATTTTAGTTGCTAATAAACCATTCTCATATGTTTGAGATTGTTTTTCTATTCTACCAAAAGATATTTTCTCACAATTATTATGGACTTAGCCACACCATTAATGAGATAATTGAAAGATAAAAGACAGGATCCAATATAGCCAAGGACATCATGAAAAATTTCTAAAGGCTGGTTTACATTATATGACTGTTACATCCAAAAACATGCAGACAAGATTTTCTGGCAATTCAGATATTTACACAATGTAATTTAATATAACTTACAAGGAATAAAAGGGAATAAGCATGCCAACCTCTTAGCTAAAGAGGTAGCACATACCCATCGTATGTGCTACCTCTTGACTCACAATAAAATCCCAATTTCGGGTATTAAAAGACTGATAAGAGATGAAACTGTAACAGAATGGCAAGATAGGTGGTCTTACTCAGAGAAAGGAAGGCATACATTTTGGCTCTTGCCAAGTATAGAAGAGCAAATCAAAGACCTAAGTTGGCTCCAGGCCAACTATATCACTAGTCAAATTTACACAGGTCACATCAATAGCTACGAATATCACAAGAAAATTAAGAAGCATCAGATATATACTTGCAACTATGGAGAGGAAACACAGAACATATGTCACTTACTCCTTAATTGTTATAAATACAAGAGAGAAAGAATGGAACTCTCTAGTCTACATCAACTGAATATCAACACTCAGACTCTAGAACTTTACAATTTAATGAGAGACAGAAACCTTGCGGATGAACTAATGTCCTTTGCAAGAAGAATACTCATGTAAAGGGGGGAGAAAGCCTTCTCCTCCACCTATCTGCCAGTAGGTAACTCGTAGTGTCTTGTCGAAGCTAGACAAATAATAGTTACATAGCCTAAGTGTTTAATATTTCTTTTGTATGATAATTGTAAGTTTGTTTATTTGGTATAATGATAAATGAAACATTCCTTGTGGTGTGATAGCGGGACAAGGATGACTCTGATCCCTGTAAGGAAAAATGCTGAACATCAAATGAAAAAAAAAAAAAACAAAAATGAATAACTTACAAGTCATTCTGAATATATGCAAGAGCATTTGTTTCTCTTGAGAGTGATAATGACATAACCTATCACATGATTTTAATCTTGTCATTGATTGGTTCTGTGAGATCCAGATGCGTTTTTCTGTTTATTTTTAACAAAAATCTGAGTTATAAGACACTCGTGTTAAAGGGGACCTTTGATGCAACGAGTCCTTCCCCCCTCTCATTAACCTGAGAGAGTTCGAAATAACGGTATAACAACTAAATATTAACATGTGAGAGGGTTGACATTTAAATGAGTTCACAGGGAAAATTTACAAACAATCAAAGGAAATAGTAAATTATCCACCCAAGGTAGACTAATTCTTACCACCCTAGCCAGCCCATTGATGACTCATCTAGAGTGTAATCACTACAAACAAGTGGTCACCTGATCATATTCCCACACTTGATGGGGATATAACAGCTGAGCACCCAATCTTTGGGGCAATCAGTACCTAAAGAGTATCTTTGACTAGTGCAAGTGACTCCTAGACCATCTCCCCAGATATTCGCCTCCCGAAGGGTCTCTCTTCTGATCGTTGACATCAAACCCTCGACCTTGATCCACGAGTGACCAGATGACTTTGTATAACCAGATCTAGAAACATCGAGTTGGAATGACACAAAGTACTGTATATTGGAGTTATATTTGTAATCTCTCTCTCTCTCTCTCAATTAGGAGTAGATACACTGAAAACGATTTCCCTAGAACCTCATGAGAGTCGTGCTTATGCTTAGCAGACAGTTCTATGTTTCATAGTAGTTGTATATTGTAATCTAGGTTTTAGATATATATTAAACTTATTATTTAGTTAACATGTCAACCTGTCTTTCTTGGAGTAATGGACAGCCTTTCGACTTATCGACAACCTCCCCACTCGGTTTATAGCCCTCCTATTCAAACAGCCATCCAGTGACACTTGAGCAGCCTTTAGCAGATCAACCTCCCATCTTCTCATGGTTCAATGATACAACAAAGAATGAAAATTCTGACAGATTAGATGTGAGCAACAAAATAGTGGAAGTTACATGTAAACTAACCATAATGATACAACTTCCATTGAACCTAGCTCACCAAAGCGGCAAGCAAACAGTCAAAATATTTTTCCACTTCAGACATCTGGCTAGTGATTCAAGATTTATACAAATATAAACATCCAAACCTGATAGTTATATATTAAAGCCAAATTACATCAGGCTATATTACTTCTATTATTATTATATAATGCTAAGTATGTGTGACTCTAGTGCCAAATTACTTAGCATTTAATTAATAACAATAGTAGCAATGTAGTCTGATATAATTCAGTAATCATTTTGTTTTGATTCAAGGTTTATTTGACACAAACTGCATCAAAATCTAATTTGTTAAATATTTATTTCACAGCACTTTAATTATAAAAAAATCTCCCTAATCAATTTTATTTCAGTTTTATTGCAGCGTGTAATATCAAAATTGTTCAGTAGATTTAAATTGAGAAAGCACAATCTCTAAAATTTCCAAGTAAGATATGTACAGTATTTAGAAATAAATTATCTAACTACATGGAAAGCTCATGTTTGCATTACAATTTTCCATCAAATTTCAATGAAAATTTATTACTACTATACTTATTTTTCTTGGCAAATATGGACTATCATAATTATTTTGATACTAATGAAATTATTTTATTATGTTAATTAAATTTCTTACAATTTATTTTAATCATGTTCCTTTTAATTTTTTTAACATTGTGAATGGATTACTATAAAATGTATTTATTAACATTCACAAACATGTTGAAAATGTTTTGTAGATGGTGAAATAATCAAAAAAATCATAGGTTGGTATACTACTGTACAAAACAAAATAAAGTATGCATTTGGAATGAATTGTTTATACTTGAATTAAATACAAGTACTTTTGAAATTTTAAAATGTCTTTCTCAGATGATAAAAGAATATATANATATTCTCACTTATGACATCAAATATACTATACATAAATTGTACTATCTTTTGGCATTAAATTTATTTGATGAATTAAATACAAGTACAGGTGATAAAATAATATATAAAAAATATACATTCTTTTATTGAAATAATTTAAAAGAATATATAATATATATATATTATTTGTATTTAATTCATCAAATAAATTTAATGCCAAAAGATAGTACAATTTATGTATAGTATATTTGATGTCATAAGTGAGAATATAGTTTTATGAATTGTTTAAATATACTTCAGTAAATGGCATATTCAAATGTATTTTCTTGTAATTGTTGGAGACAAATTATGATTAATTATAATATTGGCATAATTTACTGCCAAAAAACCTTTTATTTGTCAATAATATACAGATGAAACAAAGTTTGCAGGAAAACCTAAAACACCTGTAAAATGCATTGTATTTTAATTATGAAAAAATATGCCTAAAGGATAAACTATTATTTGATGAATGTATATATATAGCAGATATATATATATATCTGCTGAATAACAACATAATATATCTCTATCTTTTTATGATAAAATCGGAAACAAAGTGAATGTGTTAACATAAGCACTTACATTCCTTTTTTAAATAGTCATTTTCCAAAATATTCTATGGCTGATGTAAAATACAAGATGTCAATACTTTAACCTAAACATATTAAAAAAAAGAAAAAAGGAATGAACTGATAACATCTGTACAATACTAGAAAGCTATTTAAATAGTCTGGATAAAATTAAAAATAACTGTTTCTTTTCAAATAATTAACAAGTAGCTTCTGTGGCAATTTATAGAAAAATGGCATCCAACACAAAGTGCCAATTTTTTTTTTTTTTTTTTAAAGAATCTAGTACATGCACAATGTTCACAGCACCACATCACAGATCACTGCACTTGAAGTGAATCTTTGCAAATTGGATGCTCCTTTAACACTTTTCACATAAACTTAGATGACTGTTACATTTCACTGCTTCGGTGGATTTCTAAGTCGCATGGTGTATGGTGAGGCTCTCTGCTGTTGTTGCGCTTGTTGCTGTTGTTGTTTGGCTGCCTGAATGGCAGCTTGTACTACTTGAGCTGTTGTACTTGCGCTAGCTTGGACAGAATTTCCTGGAGACGGTGACTGTCCGGCCGCTTGGGTTAAACTAATGGTGGTAACAGGACTTGCAGCCTGTTCTGGAACTTGTGATTGTTGCAAAACAGTAGAAGCAGCCTGCTGAAACTGTATCTGGACTTGAGCTTGTCCTTGAGGCTGCGCTGTTGTTGTGGACGATACTCCAGCACGAACTGCAAGTGCAACTGCTTGCTGAGGAGTTAATCCCGTGGTAGCAGGTGAAAGCTGTTGTAAAATGGCAGCAGTTGGAGACTGTCCACTAATCACAACTGCGGGTGTTCCTTTTAGTATAGTTGTGGTTGCATTGCTGTTACTATTTGTAACTTCTGTTCCTACTTGAGTTTTAATGGTACTACTATCGGGTACAGTTCTTAGAGTTTGCATTCCTGCTGCTAAATTTGGAGCAGCTGTCACTACCTGGAAAACAAAATAAAAAATTATTTAATGACTAATTATTATCAAATTTTATCATTCAAATAGACAATAATCTTTAAAGATCTCAAAAACCCATTACATGGATAAGAACAATTTTTTTTTATTTTAGAGAAATGAAAGTTTTTTGAAGAGAATTAATAGATTTAATTCAAGTACTGTCAATAAGAATTTTTTCTTGATAACAGACCAGTAAAGAAGAAAAATACTGAACTAAAGAATACAAATTTGTATGATTTGTAGAAATGAAGTTTTCATCAAATTGGATATATAGTAATATCCCAAACTTACGTGTTAGGTGGGACCGAACAATAACCACATAAGTTGGGGTATAACTTCGCAATTTGTGTAAAATTCAAGTCAGATGTGTATGTAAGCTAATAAATGTTCTTGTTAATCTTATCTTGTCTTTTGATTCGTTCACAGTTGCAAGAAATCACCACATAGAGTTTCTCAAGTGTCCGTAGATATAACAAACACAGAAATAAATAACACAAAATAAATTGTAGCTATGTGTCGATTCTGCGTGACACGTCCGAACATGTAAGCTGAACAATAGTGTGGGGGGAGTGAGTAATCAAGAGTTGTGTGGCACTCAAACAAAAGACAAATTGACAAGATTTGAAAATCACATAACTCTGGGTTCGCGTAAGTCGAGGTATTACTGTATTTTAACTAAAAACATGTCTAATACTAAAGTGAAAAAATTTAAGAAAAATATAATTACTTAATTTTCTAATAATTGTAATATTTGCTTATTTATTTACTAGAATAAGTGTATATAAAAGCAAATAATGAAATAACCAACGATTGCCTGAAAGATCGGTTAGTCTAGCCCGATCTTTCAGGTGATCATTGGTTATTTTGTTATATACTCATCAGGCTACAATTACAATGCTATTAATTACTTCTGAAAAATCATGGCGAAGATATATAAAAGTTTTGCTAAAATAAGCCAACAATATAAATTTATGTTTATTTTCATATATTCAGTAAATAAAATTTTATGAATGTATGCATTTATATTAAAATATGTACTACAATATCTAGAATATGCAAATTTATTACAGTAGTAGTAGTATAAACCTATAATTAGATTATTGATTTAGTCTATTGATTTCAATGTAGCAGACAGTGGGAAAAAAATTCCTTAGCAAATCTGTCAATAGTTACATTTGTAATGACTTTTTACTTATAATAATTTATAATTAACATTCTAAAAACTCACTCTTAATATTATTAAGAACAATCGTTAGAGAACCCCAAAGACGCATAGATTTAAATTATAATACTTCAAAAATTAAAATTAATAATCAGTGTAATTTATCTATGGTAAAAATGATTGCTTCTTAATTTTAAAATTACATCATTGTGAAATTTTGATAATATATTCCATCTTTCAAAGAAATAACCTGTATGAGTGTGTAAAATTCATTGACTAGCTGTTAATATCTTATTTTAAATGAAGAAATCAATAAAAGCATTTATAAAGACATTTTCTTTCTTTAATAGTTAATGGAAAAATCGATACAACATTTACAATACATTCAATTATACTATACTCCCCACAGGATGAAGGACAAAGTCACATTATTCACTTGTTTATCCTCCCATCACAAAATCAGCTGATTCATGCCAAACTATTTTTGTTTTTGTGTAGCAGAATAGCCTGGCATAACATTATCCAAAGCTGTTACCTTTTATCTTAATATTTTCATTATTTATTTTATTTTAAATTTAATTTGTAAGGGTTTCACGTTGATTTAATTGTACCATTTGGACACTCTTAACTAGAAGTTGTTGCTTCTTTAACACAAAAATAATCAAAGATACCAGTCAGCTTACAGCTTCTATGCTTAAAGTCAGATTGGCTTCATAATGCATGAATATACATTCCAAACTGCTTCTTGCTGCTTGCACTGTGATTGTTAAGTATTGTTAACAGCCATTGAATTGTATCTGTATACCATTTACCAAGTTTTCAAAGGTATATAAACCATGAACAAAATAATGTTTATGACAAATGCTACATGGAAAATGTAATAATAATTCACACCATCATTTTGGTATTGTATTTTACTGCACTTGCATACTCTTTCTTGATAGCCACACAGTGACTTTGTTTTTATCTTATGCAGCATGTAGTAAGTTTCATATTCATGTTGATGAATTATAAATATTAGATGTCTTTATAGAAACATTTGAAGATGCTAAAGATAACAATCAACTGAGACATAGAAATTTGAAAAAATAAAAAGAACTAGTTTTTTATTTCATTATTACACAGCATAGATAAAGGATTGGTAACTATGAGTTTCATGGATCAAATTATTTTTATTTTGATGAAGTAGGCCACAAATATTGATTTAAATTATAATGGGATACTGCAGACTGAATGAGATACACCTTTAAAATACAAATTTTTATACTTAAGAGAGACTCAAATATAAGCTGAAACTTCTTTGACGAGAAAATACATTAATTCATTTTTATAATGACTTAATAAGGGATTTTGGACAAATAAACCAAAATGTTATGTCCTTCAAATTTGACTTTCGCCATCAATATTGCGATTGATGTCGAAGAATCCCAAATATTGGTGTAAACTCTGACACAGATTGTATCTCCTACTGAAGAGGGATCAGCGAGAACTCCGATCCAAAATGCATTTAAAACTGAGAAATTATCTGAGAACTAAATTGTCATCTGAGTAATTCTTGAACTTGGGTGAAAACCAGATTCGAAGGATATAACATTTTGGTTTATTCGACCAAAAATCCTTTTAAGTGGTTATAAAAGTGAATGATTACATCTGGTAAATATTACTAGTTTTAGCTTTGTACTAAAAATGCATTAACTTTATAGAAGCATACTTTTTCTTATATTTTTGAGTAAATTTTTACAAAATAGTAACTATCTCTTTTAATAACAGTCTAAATATCTTCTAAGAATATATTTTCTGTAGAGATTCATGTTAGATAAAATAATTCTGAGTTCTATGCCTAGCTTTTCAAGTTTAAAATATACAAATTTATTTTTAATATATAAAGATACACAATATTTTCAATTACTAAAAATTAAATTATTTGAGCTTAATGTTAAAAAAATTAATACATGCCAGAATAAATTGGTATGCTAACTATAATTGTTCATATGCATATTTATATAAATGCAGAATGTAAATATAGCTTCATTTCAACAATACAATAGCCAACGAGAATATTTTGCATTCATTGGCCAGTATATTATTAAGATGAAATTATAATTGAAAAAGCTGAATTTTATAAATTGATAATCATTTGTGATAATACTTTGCATCAAGAGTATTTTTTGAAAATTTAGGAAATAATTCCTAAGACAATTTCATTAAGTTTCTAATCTAAACAATAGGATTGCAGTTATCCTTAACAGTATTAAAGAATTTTTTTAATTTAATATTTTAAATACATCCACGATTTAGCTTCAATTGTGCATTGGGTTTTTGTTCTCGAATCATTCTTCACTATAATTGACATTTTTTAAAAGCGTAAATTAGATTTTTAATTGTACAAATTTCAGTTAAAGAGAAGTTTGTAAAATTCAAAAAATAGTAATTAATTTAATTTAATATTTTAAATGGCCTTATGGGCGCTAAGACGGACTTTTTCTATGCCAATCGTGAGTTCAGCCAGGCCCACTTATTTGCCTGGCTCAATTCACGATTGATTGGATCCATTTTGGGCGGTTAGTTGATGAAAGTTAGAACCAGACTGTCCATTATTGAGATTTCAGACTAGGATTCGAACCTGAGTCCTCCATAGTTGGGAAATGACTCCTTCACTACGGCTGTGTAATTGTTTGTATTATAATTTATTTTACTATTTTTTGAATAATCATTCTTAATTACAATTAATTTTTATTTTTTTAAATTAAATGCTAGTAAAAGCACAAATTCTTTAGGGAATATTTCTGTATGATGGAAGAAGATCGAATATATTCTTGCAATAATTCTTAAGATATTTACAGAATATTCGTGTAATAAATCGGGAAAAATTTAGGAAATTTTTTTTTTTAATAATTTCGAAAGTATTAAAAATAAATAAGAGTAATGTTTTCTAATACTTTTCAGTAATTTAATAAATATTATTCTGTAAATTCTGTATACATACGATAATTTCTGTAAGCTTTAAGGGATATTCTGCTGTTTTGGGGGAAAAAGCAGCAGATAAAATTACAGATAGGTTTAGGGAAAAATTTACCCACTTTCATAATGGATAGGAAATATTTGTGCTATTATAGGGAATATAGGGAATATTCTAATTTCCGTGATACTTAGGAAAGAGTCAGTAGCATTTTTAAATATTATTTAGCTTAATTTATATTTAATANATCGATAATCGGTTAACAAACAATTCAGATAGCGAACAAAGTCTTGGAATGGATTATGTTCGTTAACCGATCACCCACTGTATATATTTTTTTGATTTTGGTGAGGCTGAATGTTGCCATCTTAAACTAGATCTTTTCAATATATACAAATTATGCTTCCAGTACATATTCATATTCATCTTGATCCAGTCATATATGTTAATTTGCAATCAAACAATACTTAATAATTTAATTTTAGATCTCCAGCCTATACTAAAATTTTGAACTTTTATTAATTTATCTTATACTGATGTGGCAATCATATAAGATGTTCAATACATTAATGTTCTGATTATGCATTGTAACAGGCATGCATACATGTACATTTGATATCATTCACTAACTCGCTGTTTTTAAAAATTTCTTTGCCCAATTAAACACAAATTTATATAAATAGGTATGTTTCTTCAAACCATTCAATTTTCTGCATATTCAAAATGCTTTTTTATCTTTTCTTTGACTAAAGAGAATATTGTTTCAATAAAATCATCATGCTTCCTTATATTAAATGAGCAACTATTTATTGTGACATTGTCACAACACAGGACTGCAATTTTTAATCATATTTAATTTAAAATATATGCTCTCCACCTCAAATTAATAGTGTCTTGCCCTATATATCATATTTTTCCTGCTAGAAATAGTGTCGTGTAGGTCATCTATCAAACTTCTTTCAGAAGACAATTTTTGAATTTTCTCCTGAAAAAAGTTAGATAGATGCACGAAATAGCATGACTTCTGGTTTGTACCAGAAGTTTGTATTTAGTTAATCAAAGCCTCCCACCCAAAATTTTCATATTTGGTCTTGACTTTCTAACTCCATTCTCAAGATTAATTAAGGAAGGACAGACAGGCAGACTGATGATAGTGGAAATGTATAAGTCTACAACTTTTTCAAATTGCAGCCTAATTATAAATCCCAACTACATGACATTGTCATCCTAGTACAAATATCAGTTATGCTATCATTACAATAACATCAAGTCTTGTAAATCCCACATTATTTATCATCATCTAAAATAAAAATGAAGTTAATCTTTAAAATATTTCTATTACAAATACACAAATGTAGGATAATGTATGTAGCAGTTGAAAACTGGAAGTGCTTTATTATAAATTTCCATTGTGCTTCAGATATATTAATACCATACTAGACTAACCAACAATGCTCTGTGTAGCATACAACATTTTTCCTATTAATTTATACAGAATTAAGACATCAAAATGTTAAATCTAAATATACAGGGTCATTGAGGTAAACCCAGAATTTCTTTCCAAGCAATCTTAGGCAATCTTAGAGATAAGACTTGATGACAGTATAGGCATGTGTCAAGTCACTCAAGAAGAAAGCATCAAACAGTTAACAACTGAGACCTGCTCAGACATGTTACAAGAATATGATCAGAGAACTGCTAAACTGGAATCACTTCACACCAGAAAGTTCCCCCAAATTGTGACATGATTTGGTTACAAGAAGATGCAAGTTTACAGCACAGCCAAGAAGTTCAGGAAGTCTGACAACAAGAAAAAGATGGTGTGCAAAGCATGAGTGACCCTGCAAAAGAAATGGGTGTGGAGAGATCAACAATCAGTCTGACAGCGAAAGCTTAGATTCCACTGAATGATATCAAGTATGACAGCACCAGCTTCCTGAGGTTCTTCTTGCACAAGAACTTCATCCAGGACAAGAAGGTAAATTGCCAAAAAGACCACTGGATCTGCCAGAATGTCTCTGACATGCCTATCATCATGCACACTAAATTTCCTGCCTTTGTGATGGTCCTTGGAATCATGAGCTCACTGCTCATGACTCCAAGTGAGGATATGTCATGGTTGTCCCACTTTTTCAGCAAGAGCTTGAGAGTGAATGCTGACTGCTACATCAATATGCTGGAGATGATTGTGAAACCCTGAATGGATCAGTGGCCATTGGGAGGAAGTATATGCTACAACTTACAAGGCAAGGGAGATACAGGCCTGACTTTACAACTACCTCTCACACCACTGGTCCCACTGACTTGTGGTCCCCATCTAGTCCTGACTGCAATTCTCTTGACTACTGTGTGGTGGTGTAGTCAAGGGAACACAATATGAATGATGCTCTAAAGTCTTCCATCATGGAGGTGATGACAAACATGGACAAGGAGCAGGTCAAGAGTGCCTACAGTTGTTTCAGGTCAAAGCTGGAGAAGGTCATGGAAGCTGATGGAGGCTACGTAGAAGAATTTCATTTTGTATGTTGTGTACTACTAATATACCAATTTTCATAAGAATACATTGATTTTTCCCTGTATTTTTGGACTGAAATTTGAAAAAAAATTGTAGGCCTATAAATTTCCACTATTGTCCATCTGTCCTTCCTTAATCTCAAGAACAGAGCTGGATAGATATCTGAGACCAGATATGTAAACCTTAGGGGCAGGAGGTCTTGATTAACTACATATGAACTTCCAATGCAAACCAGAAGTCACATTATTTCAATTCAAAACTTTTCCACTGAAAGCAGTTAATAAATGACTGTTACAACTCTATTGTTAAAGGAAAAGTATGATGTACAAGGGCAAGACACTACAGCACTAATATGAGGTAGAGAGCATACATTTTAAATTAAATAAATTAAAAATATGATTAAAAATTATAGCTTGACATTGTCATAATAAATAATTGCTTGTTCATTATATGGTGACTTTTCCAGATTTACCTCAACAACCCTGTACAGAAATACATCATCTTCTGTTAAGTAGGGTCATGCTACATAGCACCAAGATCGCCATTTAGTGATATTTTTTATTAAAGTGGCAATAGCAAGTGGCGATAAATCTGTAGTCCACTTATATCGACATTCAGCATGAAATTGAATCACAAAGCACACTTCAGGAAAAACAGCAGAATGTCTAGCTCCTGTGTGATGGGAGTCCCGGGCATCACACACCGATTTCATGACGTCATGCAGCAAGTTCAGGCAGAAAAGCAGGAAATGACAATGAGAACCAAAGGCAGTTTTGTGCAATTCTGCTCAACATTTCCAGATGGGGGATTTTTTATCGACCATAGAAAATTTGGGGAATTCTTTGGGGTAACTTTTTTCATTTTCATCTTTTCTCAGTTTCAATGTCACAATAAATATTTGCTTTGTTAGCAATACAAATCATTTTTGAATAATTTTTGAATGAATAAGTCTGAATAACATATTTGATTACGATGCTTAAATGGTATTTTACATGTTCTGTCATATCAAAATTTTTGTTTTAGTCTACTGAGAAAAGATGAAAATGAAAAAAGTTACCCTAAAGAATTGCTAACAGGAAAAGTATGATGTGTTATTTCTGAATTGAAATAACATGACTTCTGGTTTGCATTGGAAATTCATATATAGTTCATTGGGCCTCCTGACCCAACATTTCCATATCTGATCTCATCTTTCATCTATCTAACTCTATTCTCAAGATTAAGGAAAGACAGACAGAAAAACGGATGACAGGATGAACAGAAGGTAGTGGAAATTTATAGGTCTACAACTTTTTCAAATTGCAGCCCAACATGGAGAGGGCCAGATATTCGGGTTTCCAATTTGAGCAAAACTTGGCAACCATGTAGTTCTAAACACAAACAGCTCCTTCTCCAAATAACAGAACCCATTTCTCAAGTATATCGAAAAACTGGGCTTCTGAAAAATTTAGTGTTTACTTTATAAGTCTTTAAAAGTTTCACGTTTCCAAGTGGATAAGACGCTAGGCATTGGACTTACACAATGTAGGTGTGAATCATTAGCATTATTACTACTATTATTATTGCTCACGTTTAAAGCTTATAAAACAAGAAATTAAAATTGTGACGTCATATCCTGTTTAACAAAAACAAGTCTCTGTAGATTTAACTCTTTTACTTATTAAATAAAACTTTTATTTCTTCATATTTATTTTCAGATATTTTCACTCTGATTACATACTAAGTCTCACAAACAAATAAACTTCGGACAAAGCACATAGACAAAAAAGATAATGTGTCAATGGGATAGGATAGTTGCAACATTTTATTTTTTTTAATTCTTAATATGGACAATTTTTTTCTGCGATTTAGTTTTTCTAAGCATTGCAACAATTATTAGTCTGATAAACAATAAACAAATTAAAAATTATTCAAAACTCTCTCTCAAGACAAAAGTCATGTTGAAGACATTATTTGCCAATACAACAGAAAATGAATACTTCATTGTATATTTATTTTCGTACTATATATATGAATTTTTTAAATAAACTTTTTCTCAAAAAGAAAAAGTAATTCTGTAAGAACTGGTTACATCCAAGAGCATCCAATCTTCATATGCTGTATATTAGAAATCCATAAATTCAAAAGTTATAACTAAATAAAAATCCAGTCTTTNTTAAAATTAAAAATAAACTTATATTAATATAAGTTGATGAAATCAGTTCTAGTACAACTCTGAAACAAAATTTTAATATAAAAAAATATGGACAACAAGAATACATAAATGAAAATATATTGAAAATATTAAAATAGAATTAAAAATTCTGAAAATAATAAAACTGTTAACAGTTATTTTTCTAAATTTTAAAACTGTGTAATTTAGAAAAATTTATTACATTGGACTCAAAGAATAATATGAATCAAGATTGCTAAATATACTAATTACATTAATTGATAAATTTACAAGATTTATATATTTTTAGAACTAATAATAATAATAATAATTTATTAATTTAGAACAATACTATTTTAGGAAACATCATTTAAACAAGTTCTATAAAGAAAGAATTTATCAAAAACAATTTGGATGAAGAAAATTTCGATTCTCTTTCTATGTTTATTGATAGAATAACTGTAGTAATAGTTTTGGAAAGTAATTGCATACTTTATTATTTTAATTGTATTATTATATTAAAGTCTAAGTATTTTCAAGAATTTGATAGATGTTAGAGATTGCATTGAGAGTAACATAGGAAAAATAGTATAGATATAAAATTAATTTTGATGGAATGCTTTGATGTTTAAATTGTAGGAAGCCATATCATTTTGTTTTTTATTTAACTGTAAAACATAACTTACAAAAGGTAAATGCTGGGGCAAAACTTGTTTAATGACTTGTTGAATTTGTTGAACAGTTGATGCTGTTGTAGCTGGGAGAGAATTTCCTGTAATTTCATTTACTTGGGGTGGTGTTTGCTGAACAATCTGTACAGTACTCAATTGGTCTGGTAATGCTGATTTCTTACCCTAAATTAAGTTGTCAAACAACATATGTTGATTTTTTTTTGCTTTGTCTAATTTTTTAATGGCATTTATGCATGTACCAATTATTATTAAATTATGTTAAAATAAAAATTATTTTTTAATTTGATTTTTACTGTTTTAAAATAAAAAGAGAAAATATTTCCCAAAACATAATTCTAATTAATAATATACTGATTAAAATATCTAATAATTTTATTACAACTAATATATGTAGTTACTTTGAAATTTATTTTATTCCATCAATAACGCACAGACCATGTATATTGTAAGACATTAAAACTAATTTTTATCCAAACTTTTTCATTTAAGAATTTAATAATCTATCATTATCTTAAATATAAAATATATTTGAAAATAAAACTCTTTATATAATATATATTTTATTATTAAATGATATTTATTATTATCCTACATTTTTTCTTCAAGAAAACAAAACAAACAACTAAAACATCTAAGTAAAATCAATTTTAATTATACTGTAAATAATTTGAATAAAGTTAAGATTGTATATTTAGTTATTAAATATTGAACTTAGGTATATTTGCAATTATGTTTCAGGAACATGTTATTCTCTGTCATAATGAAATTAGTATGGCACTACTTATTGTTTTGCAGTAACAAATAATGGCACATTAATTTCATTACAACAGAACATTCTTTTGATTTAGTTATTATTATTAACTACAACAACTTTAAAATATACTATTTTACAATAAGAAATTTCTATGCCTAGCAATTATTCTATAATCAAATTAAATAAAAAGATTAATAATCTATAAATTTTAAGAGAAACTTATCATTACAAAGTTAATATTTTTGATTTTAAGTCGACATCAAAAATTAAAAAATAACAAAAAAGTACATTAAACCTAAAACAAGTATGAGATTTGTCAGAAAAGATTCTGTTATTTTAAAATAGATACCATAAAACATGAATATCTAATGGATGTTGGGATTGTCAGATAATGCCAGTTGCTTTCCACTGTTTTGTTTAGTCTGTATGCTGAGTAAGCAAAAGTGAAAAGGTGTGTGATGCCTCTAGCAATTCTCTGTTGTAAAATTTCCAATTTGTACAACAGGCAGTGTGTGTGGGTGTATAATTTTGTATTAAATTAAACTTTTACAAAGACATTTGTTTGAGATGTTAATGCAACAAACTGAAGGTACAAATGGCACAAATATTTTAGAGAAAAGAATGTTGTTAAAGACTATCAATGTCAACAGACAATTGACATATCTGAAAAGTTGTCAGATGAGTGTTGTCTTGTGCTTTCAATGAAATTCACAAACCAACATATGTTAACATTAGTTATCATGGTAAAATACCCATTCATCCATGTTATTTTTATCTCACTGCCTCTTGTAGACATTTGATCACATTCAAATAGTACTCTTTATAGACAACATTGCAGAGATGCTGGTTGCCTGTTGAAGTTAACAGTTCATACACAACACAGATTATTTTCAATCAATGTTCATTTCTCTTTCAAATATTTGTGTCATTCCCTATCAAATATTTGCATTAACAACTTTTACAATAACTTTTGAGATTTCTTTAATATAACAAAAATTTTCACATGTGCACATCCTTTACATACTGAAATAAAATGTACAACAGCAGCAATCTACAAGAACCACTAAACATCGCTTCACTCTTACTTATACAACATACAGACTAAACAAAACAGAAGAATGCAGCAAACTCATCAAGATCAGTGGTATAATCTAATATTCATCTTTACTGTGCTTTCACACTAATACATTATTTTAAAAGTTCAGAACCTTTTTGGGCAAACCTCTTAACAACACAATATGGATAATATAACTTGCATATAGACATAAGAATGAAATTTTTATTCTTTATACATCTTCATGGAATGAATATCATCTCAAAATTACATCAAAGAAAGGATTAAGAATACTAGAAATATTCTAGAACTTATAACATACAAATATAAGAATAACTTTAAATATAAAATTAAAGCAGAGAAATGAATTTCTACTAGTTAAAAGATACAATGATAAATTGTGATTTTATTTCATTCTTATCAAATACATGGCACTCTTATAAAAACTAAGTTGTTCAGAATAACTCTCAGTAAATAAAAAAAAAATCATCATATATAAAAAAAAAAATGATATATCTATTACAAGAATAAAATGAATAATTTATAAATCTAAAGCTTCATTATAAATATTATTTTTATCAATAAGTTATACAAAAGATCACAATAAACAAAATAATTAAATTTTATAACCATTTAATATCAGTCATATTAATGACTGATTAAACAGATTATCTGATAGTACTTGATCTATAACAGTTGGATAATAAATTAATCATGTAAGAAATTTTTAAAGAAAAATGTATAATATTAATTCTAATGTTTTAAATAACATTTGATAGCATCATCTTTATAAAATAACAAATGCAGCTAAAATGTATTACACCACAAAGCCATCAATTAAAATCATAAAGAAAAGGTAGAAAAGGTTCTAGAATTATAATTTCAAATTTTTATTTTATAAAATTACCTGACATTGTTTAATTCTAATCTATCTGTTTAAATAACATTCTCCTTTAACTTTCTAACTATTCTATAGATTAGATTTGATATAACAGCTTTGTTTTCATTTATATTATTACATTTCCATCATGTAATATTTGTACCAAACAAGAAAAATGTTAGCCATTACTGAATTAAAATAGAATTCATAGTATTTTTTTAGACATAATATTTTGAGTTGTTATAAAAATATTGCTCATCCAAAATTTTCAGTTTTCTTTGAGAACTTTGAAAGAAAAGCTTAAGAATATTTGTCAATTGCATTTGAAAAAATGTTAACAGAATCAAATTGAAAACTTTAAATTTAAGTATTTGTTTGTTTCAAGTTTTTAATCTATTACAATTAATGAAAATGTTCTATTTATGAAACCTTAATTTTACATTAAAAAATAAGTTTAATTCAATCAAGTATTAATACAAAAAATCTGAAAAATGAATCTAGAATTTTTATTATTAGATTGTATTTTTAAGCTATCATGATTTCTTATAACTTAAAATTAAAATTTAATTACTAATAGAAATTCTTAATATAACTGTTAATAAATTAAATTATGATAAAATTTAAAATTCCATATAAGTTAAATAAACTATTAACATAAAATGTATTTTCTCATATTAATCATTAAGAATCAAAATGTGCAAGTAAAAATAAAAGAGAGAAAGAGATAAAATTAATCTATTAAATAAATAAAGTTTAAACTATTCATTTTTTATTAAAAAATATGATAGTTAATAATTTTAAAAAATGCTGATAAAAACTGAAATATGCAACAACATATTTTACAAAAATATTAATCAATACAAAATTAAAAGACTATACATATACATATGTATATACTTCCTTCAGTCAATAAGTTCTGAGACAGAGACTGTAAGAAATTATTTAATTAAAAAGTACAGGTAACCCCCATATAACACAGCACTTCTATAGCACGGATTCACTCTAACACGGTTTGAGAATTGAGAACATTTCCCGTATAACACGGTGGTTTTATACGAGTTCATTCTAACACGAGTTCATTCTAACACGGTTCACTCTAACACGAGTTAGCACGAGTTCATTCTAACACGGTTCAGAAATTGGGTAAAACCCTTGTACAATATGAAATGTAATAAAGGGTGCGTTCTTTTATACTTCCGCGTAACTCCGCATGAACATTCTAATTGTTTTCGTGGCTACTTTGAATGCTCTTTCAACCAGTGGCATGCTGTCATTGGAAGCGGTGGATGCGCCACTTCCCTTGTATTTTATAAAAAACAAATACATATTAATTTTAATTATATGAAAATAATCACACAATAATTTTATTATAGCCACATTATGTATCTTATTACAAATTTCTATACTACACGTGAAAAAAAAAAATTGCTATTGTATATTAGAATATTAGTGGCAGAGTGGAAGTGCTGTATCATCAGCATCCAAAAAGCCAGATTCGTGCACGCACTTTACAGAGCAGCAACCTCACCCAGTTTAGCTGGTGGAAGCCTAGGACCTCGGGTGGATGCTACATGTATACTGCATCAAATTCTATCCAGGACTGGTTCTGGGCTGTTAGCCGCCTGCCTGCTAGATATTTGGCCGCCCTCGCCCGATTACGCAAATCACGAGTAGATTTGTAACTTAACCCAACCAATAAGAATTTACTGGTACATTTTTGTGATAGTTCTGTATAGTTGACAGGAGTTTAAAAAATCCATAAAAATATTTGATATTTTTATTCTGCTCTCCGACTTTATATTACTCACGAATTTCAATGTTAAACCAGCGATATTACGATTTTGTATATCCCATCTCTAAGGGGATGTAGAAAAAATGTGTACATTACTTGTACAAAGTTAAAAAATTAACTGTTACTTCGACAGCATCATTTACAACTAAATTTAATGAGTGAGAGAGATACATGAGGTACAGAAAAAGCTCTAGAATTCATTTTCCTTACATTTACGATTTATGTATCCATTTGTCATAAAAATTTGTCTTTCCACTTTTTTCCTGACTACAAATATTCAAGTACAAAGTAACTGGTTTTGACTTATTTCTACTTAAGAAGTAGTTAAATAATTAAGCGATTAGAGAATTCGGGACATAAACAAAACCCTGATGAAAGAGCCGAAATTTTACTTAAACAAAAGCTTAACCAAACCAATCTATAGCCGAGTACAGTGGGGACTGATTTCTTCGAAATACTGTATTAGATGTAATAAAGACAGAAATTTTTCCAGTTCAACGAGAGTAACCAAAAAGTTGTAAATTTTGGAAATTTCTGAGGACACTTGGTCCTAAAACAAATTAGTTAGAAAACAAATGACTATTAAGTTTAACATATTTAGATTTTTACAGCTATGGTGAGAAACGTTTAAAATCTACAACAGCTCTGTCGCATCCTTTGAGATATATTAGTGGAGAGCAGTATCGGCACCCTGGGGATTTGGCAGTCCGCGTGTATGCACACTTTGCAACCGTCTTCGATTCCATCCATTAGCCACTTGTAGGGAGCTATTTGACTAAGTGCATTGTTTTAAGATTTAAACAGTAAAGAATATTTTATGTTATTTTTATGTACGTTTCTTTACAAAGCTATATTTAATTATAATTTTCTTTAAAAGTACATTCATACAATTGAAGAATATTTTGTACCAGGTATGTACTGGTACATCTACCACACATTTTATTCCACCAAGTAAGTTTTTATTATTTTATTTTTAATTGTAGCCCTTATATCGTGACTAGCAATTCGGAATGTAATTGTGATATTAAAAATACATTTAGAAAAGTCTATGGTTTTTACTGGTTTATCGAATAAACGATACAAATGGACCCTAGACCAGGGGTGGACACCAGTTTTTCCCCCGGGCCGAATTGGAAAGAAAACTTTTTTCTTTCCAATTCAGCCCAAACCACAGGTTGGTCTAGCAAGATTTTGATGTGGTAAGCGATCTCATTGTTGTGTCACCCTGCAGAGACTAAATTGTACATAGAGATTACAGATATATTTTTTAATTTATCATGCATTATCAACATTCTAAGCTGTGCTGAAGATATTTGTATTGGAGCATTAACTCTAATTGCACAGTTACTTGTTGATTTTTTTTTAGGTGTCAGAATTTTTCGTCGAGATATTTGGACTTAAGAAGCTAATATTGAAAGATTAATCACAGACCACATAAATTCATTAGGTGGGCCGTATGTTGGCCATGCCTGCCTTAGACCATCACTGACGCACAATTGACTGATTGTCCCTGGATGTTGGCTTCTTACAGAAACACAGCTTCCCTATCATCAAATGTCACGGCACACCACTGCTTTCAACAATAATCCATTCAATGGTTAAATTTTACAATTGGGACCCTTCTTTTGCCACTAAAAGCTCATTTTAGAATTATAGATTCCTCCATCACGATACTATCGATAGTGTGGGCGCCGCCATCGCTCTTTCACCGTTGTTCCTAAATGCCCACAAACAGCAGCGCACTCCCATTGCAGAATGACCGCACCCAAAAACTGTTACCAGTTGATGATGCTCATGCTGAGATCATCATATAGGATGAATAATCTTCTGGTAAAATATTTACTTAAATAATAAATAAGTATTTTACCTATGAAAAAAATGAATAATAAATCCGATTTAAATAAGGATTTGTGAGGACCCAAACGGGGTCCGAAAGCAGGCCATTAACGAGTTTTTAAATGAGTCAAGTTTTGTAGTGCAAAAGAGCGAACTTAAAGATCGGATTTAAACAATGAACCTTTTGTCTTGTTAAAAGATTTTAAACAATAGATAGAGTAAAGTCGAGGAAAACGAGGTTGGAGAGGAGTCGTGTTCCGACGCGACGTTGACCTCTCCCGCGCCCTTCCTGGGGTTTCGAATTGTCACCATGTGACGAGGAGAGACCAATGGAGAGGCGATTGCGGTGGAAAAATCGATAAAACCGCGTTTTCGGGAACTTTACGGGGTCTTGGGTTTTGGTGTGTAGTGCTCACCTGTCGGGATTTGGTGCTCCCGACTGAGACGCAACGAAGGCTCTTCCGACAACCTAGGAACTGGTTTCGCCAACCCGTCCACTCTAGGATCGCCGAGGTTCGACTTGTCAACCGAGGACATCACTACAAAGGCTGGTGCGTGTCCTGGGGCCATCGTTCTCTGCGTCCACAGTGCCGAAAGCTCCCCAGGGACCAATCGAACATTCAAACTGTCCGATTTTTAGGAAATGTGACATAAACCCATCGTGGGATAGGCTCTTGCCCGCATTAGATTGTTGTAAGAACAATTTATGTATATTATTAAGCGATTTTATATGGTAAACCTGTCTCGGTGAGTCATTCCGCGCCCACACGACAGAATTAACCACTCGGCTGTCGAAAACACCTCACCCCTAATCGGCTGGCCTCACAGATTTAACACCATGTTTTTTAATTTTTGGAACCTAACCCCCCTTTTTGCACTAGTTCTTTGTTTTGTATAACACGGATTCACATAACATGGCAATTTTTTGGAACGTAACTCCTGTATTATATGGGGGGTTACCTGTATTAAGAAATTATTTGAAAGCCACCATCATGACCATGACTGCTTCAATCTCATCAGATGTGAATCGCTGATCTTTCAATTGTTCTTTCACCCTGGAGAAAAGAAAGAAGAAGGTACTAAAGAGTAGAGGTGGTTGTAGGAGCAAGGACACATTGTTCCTTCCAAGTAATCTATGACCAGAACAGATATTAATGACACCTGACGAGATTCAAGCACCCATGACAACAGCTTTCAAGGAGGATGCAAAAAAAATGGCTTTACTGACTGCTTCCCCAGCAGTAGTACAACCATGGCAGAAGCGGATAAGTTGTAAAAGGGTGATATAGCCTAACTCTCTTTTACTCCAATAAGTAATTTCTTATAACTATCTCAGAACTTATCAACCAAAGGGAGTGTATGCGTACGTGTGTCTGTGTGTGTATGTATATATGTATATATATATATATAAAATAAACATTAACATTAAAAAGATCCTAAATTATAAGAGAAAGATTAAAAATAAGTAAATAAATAAATATATTTTTATCTTATATCTTTCACTCTCTCTAACTCTACATATATTTTATTTTATTTATATTAACTTAAACTAAATAAGATAATTCTGAAAAACTCTTACTAATTTCTTAAAGCTGATGTAAGTTATCTCTTTTTCTTACACATATTTCAAATAATGTTGCAATTCACAGATTTATTGACAATATAAGAAGCATCATCAATAAATTTATAAACTGCAATATTAAATGTTTTCAATGGAATAAAAGTTTGTTTATTTCAAATTTAGACTTTAAAAGGAATATTTAATGTAACATTCATACTAATATTATGAGCAATGAATAGTAAATAATAGATATATTGATTTATATTAAATATATAAAATTACTTTACAATTTATATATTTGAACAATGTTAATTTAACTTAACTACTTTTTTGGTATCTAAAATCAAAAATTCAATCAAATGACGAATCAGCAAATCTTACCTTAGCTACCTGAGTAAGAGAAGCTACTTTTTGCTGTTGCTGTTGTTGTTGTTGTTGCTGCTGCTGTAGCTGGGCTTTACGTTGTATCAATTGCTGCTGTATTTGTAATTGACGCAACTGCTGTGGAGTAACTGTAGCAGCACCTTTAGCTGTTACAGTTGTACCTTTTGCCTATCAAAAAATTTATTTTATACAATTAAACTAAAAAATCCTTAATTTTATATTTTATAAGCTTAATAATAGTTATATTGTAAAATAAAAATTATAATGATATAGTATTTGAAAATTATCATTATAAGTTTGTCTCCTTTGAACTTGCTAAGTTTAAATTATTAATTAGGAAGAGTTTGAAAGGAATGCTTGATTTTTGAATATATTGTAGTCATTTAAGAATTGTACTTTAAGGGGAGAGCAGTCTATAAACAATTAATACTCTGAAAATACTCGCATTTTATTTTACATTAATTAATTTTTACTAACTCACTTGTTCTTTTTGACAGTATAACCAACAACTACATATACTTCAGTGTGTGAATAATACATTTTTGTGTACAATTTGATGATATATTAAGCAAAAACATTTATTTAAAATTTATGTATTTTATTTTACATCATCAATGGTTCACTTATCACTTGTTACCCAGAAACAATATTATTGTAATATCGTATTGTTTTCTGGTGTTTGTAATGTAACTAACTAATATTGTCAGTTGCTTACATTAAATCATTCCTTTAACAGACATTAACAGTCACATTAATATTTACAAGGTTCAGTAAATAATTTTATCTTAACTACATTTAATTATCACTAGCTGTACCTGGCCATGCATTGCTGTGGCTCAAAATGTATCTATTTATAAATGTATTCTCAAGACTCTCTGACTCTAACCTGACTGTATCTGTCCACCTACACCATTGTACCCCACTATCAAGGTGCTCCCTGTTCATACTCTCTCTGGCACCTCATGTTATTGTTCTCTTGCTATTTGTCATGCCTATGAAAGGTGCCCACTTTACTCTCAGTATCCTACACGCGTTCATTTAATCCAAACACGTTAATTGTAAATTGTTCTCTTTGGACAGACAATTCGCGGCAGGTGCCCTTGTTTTCTCCTTTTCCCCTTTTCTCTTTCCCCATTCCCACTCACTCCTCACTCTTCACCCCACTCTATCTCCATCCCTCCCTCTTCCCTTCCTTCTGGCTATACTTCCAAGTTAAGGCCATTTTCTTTACAAACTATAAACTATTATAAATGTATAACACTCCCCGCAGAAGGGAATTTCGAAAAATCCCTTTCTTAGTGTACATTCTCTTGATGTACCCTATTAAAACGCAATCAAAAACGCAAAAAAAACACATCTAAAATAGTATAATAGAAGCAGAGTTCTTTACGGTAAGCCTTAATCCTGTCCATCTCTCCCCAGTGGGAGGAATTTCAACATGTATCTATATATATAACTCATTCAACAGGTATCCGTCCGTACGTCCCGTAACCGTTTGATAACAGACACTAGAGGCACCCCTATCGTGTGTCATATTTCAAACATTCAAATTAAATTAACAATTTTAATTATTATTTAAATTAACAATATAAATTATTATTATTCATTTGGCCAATAAATTATTATTTGGTCAATATAACAATATAAATAATTCAGTATATTTGTAATAGGAATTTATTATTGTCACGGAATGCATGTAATGTTCACTAGGGGGCAAATAACGAAAAACCGGATAGGTTTGAATCACTACGTAAGACGATAAGGTTTGAAATAGTTAAGGTAATATAAGGTAATATTTTAGTATCTATTAACCCATTCAACGGGTAATAGCAATTTGTAAATAACGCCCACTAGAGGGCGTCCCAGGCTACTAGTATTATATAAAAACACGTGTGTATTCAAATGCAGCATTGTGTCAAAATTTCAAAGGAATCGGTAGGAACAAACGAACATTACATTTTTATTTATATAGATAGATAGAAGATGATCTGCTTTAGTTCATCCTCACAGAAAAGCAAACTTAGGTCGTCGTACTTGTAGCGCCATCTGTTGGACATAAAAGCCTTAACCATAGATGATATCTTTTAATTTATATGAATGTTTAACGGATAATATACAGCCTATGTCCACCCTAAAGTTCCATTCTAAATATTAGTGAAAGAATTTTTGAAATCGGATGAGTAGTTTCTGAGATTACCCGCTACATACAAACTTACAAACATTACCTCTTTATAATATTAGTATAGATTAATATAATTGAAAAAATAATTATTTCTATTCAAACTTTAATAAAATTTCTTATGTTTAGAATTTAGTTTCTGTATATCATATATTTAAAAATAAATGTGAAGTTACCTGTGGTAAGCTAACATTGATATTTACACCTGACATTGTTACAGCAGAAACAGGTATTGTAACTGATGTAGGAGCAGACACAGTTTTAACAAGGGTTGCCATTGATGTTTGTACTGTACCAGCAATTGAAGGTTGTGTCTGTTGCTGCTGCTGTTGTTGCTGCTGTTGCTGTTGTTGTTGCTGCTGAAGTTGAGCATGTGCTAATATGTGAGTGGTTAACTAAAAAAAATTTAATCAATTACACAATTTTACAGTTTTTTGGCTAATGTTATTCATAAAAAAATATTTTAATGTATAAATTATTAAAAAATCTAAATTATTCTCATTAATACAATATATTTTAAGAATGTGAACAAATATTCATTATATATATAAAATAAAAATATTTAGTAAATAAAAATATCTGAAATTTATTAAATTAATTTAGTATCAATCCATCAGTTAAAAAAGAATTTATCATGTTTTCTCGATTCTAATGTGTATCTGATTTTTGAGATATCAAAACCACAAAAAAAAAAGTTAGTCTGCAATTTAATTCATGCTCTATATCACTAAAAATGCAATTGCCAAAAGTCAATCAATAATAAATACATTTTAAAATGTATTCATTTTTCACTTCATTATCAGATACAGAGGACCATCCAAACCAATACAAAAACCACAGTCAAAATTACCATATAATCAACTAGCTGTTACCTGCGACTTTGCACGTGTGGATTTTGCAAGCAAACTCCATTTATATTCAGTATTTCAACAACCATAGTAATTGTTATATAACACCTACCGCTGAGAATCAAACGAACTACATTTTCAATTTGATCAATTTTCTGGAACATTTACAATCGTTCTATAATTGAACCAATATGCAATAACAAATTCAAATTTAAAATGGTTTGAACATTTGGTTAAAAAATCAAAATATATAAAAATATTTATAACAATGTCTGAAATGTTATCAATTTAATACACCTAAGTACTCAATGAGAACTAAACATAGTTGAAAACAAAAAATTGCATCTAAAATAGTACAGTAAAAGCCGTTCTTCAGGTTTTCAGGTTAAGCCTTAATCCTTTCCCTCTCCACTCGCAGGGGAATTTCAAAAAATCCCTTCTTAGTGAGCGTTTTCATGACGTACCCTAACTGTGTACAAAATTTCACCTCTTTAGGTTCAGCAGTTTGCTCTGGGCAATGATGAATCAATCACTCAGTCAGTCAGTCAGGACAAGTAATTTTATATATTTAGATGTTGTAACAGTGAGATCATATGTTGGTTGCACAAGCATGAAATCATGAAATTTACCAGATATGAAATATCACACTAAAGTATCTATATACATGTCTTTCAGAAAAGTATATACATAACCACTTGCCACTTAAACATAGCTTTATAGAAGACTTGTCTGTTGGACATTGTTCATTCAGTTTGTTGTAGTTCAAAAGAGCATCAAAATATCCTAAAACTGAAACCAAAATAATGGGAGGAACATGTACCATCTATGTCTATCTAAACCACTGTTCTGCAAGCTTTTTCTATTCGCGGCACACCCATGACTCGACATGTCTCAACACGGCACACCAAAATGTTATTCCCCTCAAAAGCGTATGATATGATACTATTAATAGAATTACGTAATGCCACTAACCTATTATTATTATTAAACAGACATCAACACCCGTGAGCAAATTTATTTTACATTTAATTTCTTAAAATACATAAAAATGTGTGGCTTGTAATAAAGAATAAACGAACATCATTATACTTGAAATACAAGCATAAGAAGCACAGCAACTGTGATAAAAATATATAAATAAAGCTTGAAATTAATAGAATATGTAAAAGTTCACGTCACACCTTACACCTTGTGACGGCACACCAGTTGCGGAACACTGATCTAAACCAACAACATAATATATGCAAATTGCTGAGCAAAGAAAAGAACAAACAATATAAACAGAGCTGCATTAAGTCAACTTTGTGCCCGATTCTAATGCACACCCCAATTTTTGAGACTAGAAAAGTGCAAAAAAAATAAAAGTTGTGCATTAGAATCAAGAAAAAATGATTATTATGATTAATGTTCTGAATTTTCACAAATTATTTGTAAGAAATATAATGAACAGTTAGCAATGTAATATAATAATAAATATCATGAACAGTCGGCATACCATTGAAATCTTTGTGATTTCAATGGTATGCTGACTGTTCATTATCATGCAAGAAGTCAAAAAATAAATAAGTTATGCTCTTTTAGAAAAAAGTTAGAAAAACTTTCTTTGATATAATTCTAATTTCTATATGTTAAAGGTAAATTATTATAAGAATCAATTTTATTCACGAATCAAAACTAAATAAAAAAAACAATAAATGAATAAAAATTTAAGAAACAAAAATTAAATTATGAAACTATTGTAGAAGATAAAAAAAACTGAGAACAAATAAAACTCTAATTAAAAATATCATTGTCAATTAAAAAGTTTTTATAGAATATCAGTTATATGAATTGAAAAATCTAGTTATGTTTTTCTTTTTGTTTAGACAATTTTTATAATTATCTAAGTGTCAGGGAAAATATAACTGTGCATATCATCCTTATAATCACATTTCTCTGAAAACTGCACTTGTCATAAATTACAGTATGACACTACTCAAACCTTTAAAATGTAGTACAATTTTAAAGGTTTTAGTAGTAGTACTGTGTCCTCATAATCTGCAGTTTTTTATTTTTTATGTAAAAATAAAACAAATAAATAAAACAACTTATTTTAAAAAACATAACCCTCTTATCTTAAGATATTTTTAAGAAATCAACAAATAATATATAAATTGTTTTATCTATCATCCCAAATATTAATATTTGTTGTCTACATTTCAGTCAGTCATATTTTCACATCATTTGTAATTTGTACATAATGCTACAAAATGTATTTGTAAAATATACATATTAATAGTATGATCATTTCATTACTAAATAGTTTATAAAATATAGCTTATTTTAATTAAAAAAATAATCAAAATATGTCATAAATATCCTGCCTTAAAATATTTTTTGTACTATTGATATTAATTAAATTATGGTCTTAAACAGGCTATAGCATTCTATAGTAAACTGTTTCTCAAAACTTAAAAATTTAATAATAATAAGAAATTATTATGATGTGAATTTACTTCTTAAAATTTTACCTGAGCTGTTGCTTTTTGTTGTTGTTGTAATTGTTGTTGTCGTTTCAATAAATGAGTCATTTCAACATCAGTCATAGCTCTTGTTTTTACAGCTGTCTGCTGCTGAACAATTCTTTGTTGAGCTGCAGCAGCTACAGCTGCAACACTTGCAGCTAGTGGAGAATTTACGCTAACAGCAACTTTTCCGGCAACTGTCTGCGTAGTAGTTTGTTGTGTAGCAACTTGCAATCTTTTTAACTGTTGCTGCTGCTGTTGTTGTTTTAACTGTTGTTCCTGAAATTGAAAAATGTTCAAATTAAAATATTATAATAAATTTAAATCAAAATAAATTTTATTTCATTTAATTTTATACAAATTATTTCAGATTATATTTAATTAAAAGCAAAATAGCACTTCTTCAAAGATAAAAAAATAAACATTCAACAGAATCTCAATTATTCAGTACAGTTTATTTTGTTCCATATTTGTTAATAGACTTAGAGAATAAATGTAGCATGTGTATATGTTACATTTATGATCTTTGTAACAATGCTAAAAATTCAAAAGATAAATGAAATATGTAGAAACTAAAATAAAATACTTCATGTCTTTAAGTCAATTATTCTCTATTATAAATACAATTCCATGTCCTGCTCAAAGACACTTAAACCAAAGTTTTTCAAGAAACTTACTTTCATTAATAACTAATTTAAATTTTTATTTTATTTTTTTAACTTTTACCCAATCTTAATAACAAACATCAAAAGTTACAAACATATTATGATAAGATAGAATAATATATACAAAATCTGATTTTTCAAAATCTCTAAATAAAATTTTTTAAAAATCTCAGAAATATCTAATAAAAAAATAAATTTTAAAAATATATTGCACTTCATGATCTTTAACATTTTTTTTGAATGAAGGTTCTGAATTTGTTTGAAAATAATCACATAACTAGATACCACTTGTTAATTTATTTTTTGAATTATTGACTATTAAGATTAGTTATTTAACTTATTTAACAAAAAAATGACAATCTTGTCTACTTGGTTATTTATGAAAGAATTTTAATGATATGTTATTTTAATCATAAATATGTTTGTGGTTTCAAAAATATTGAAAGCAGTCAATTTACTGTTTGTGCATTTATGAATTTTCTATTTCCTCATTATTCATGATTAAAATAATAAAAATAGTTTGTGGGTATAGATTTGATAAATTTAATCAAACCATAAACAGTGAATATGAAACAAATGACACACTGATTTTAAATATTTATACATAAATGAAAATACCTGAATCCTTTGCTGATGTTTTAATAATTGATGAGACTGTCGATATATCTGAAGTTGAGAAGGTGTTAAATTTCGCTGAGTTAACTGGCCTGTATTTGCTGCTTGATTTGTAGGTGTTCCTACATAATATTTTTATTATTAATGGAATGCTAAAATATATTATTATTATTGTTATAAATATATAAATTTAAAGTTAATGCTTTATATATTAGCTTTAAATTTATTATAACCAGAAAAATATAATGATTTATGAGACATGTCTAACAACAACAACAGATAATTCTATAACATCCAAATCTAATTTAAATACTCTGGTTTGTTAAAATGTTGCAATGTATTTTGTACAGTGATTTAACTTGCAGTCCTAAAAGTATTTAATTTGAAAAACTGATTATTATTATTATTACTATCAATATAAATCCAAAAAGTTCTATTAAGTTTTTAACCAGATTTTTTTTAGGAACAAAAGTTAAATATATTTCCTTTTCTTTCTTTTTTGTCTGAATTTCTAATTCTTTCTTTGTGATTTACTAGAATCTCTATTTTATTAAATTACATATCATATCAATACATTAAGAAACATTACTTACATATAGATGCACTAAATAGAAAATTTCTAAACTTAAACCTTACATAAAATTAAGAATAATCTTAAGCAATTTTGATAAAAACATACATTTGAATATAACAGTTCAATCTGTTTCAAGACATTATCTTTATTTTCAGTATACACAAATGGATATAAATTTCCAACAGAAATAAAATTTGTGGTATTAAGTCTGTTAATGGTAATAGTAATTTCATTTTACTCCATCAAAAAATATCTCTCATATTTGCCTAATTACATTTAAAATACATCTTTGATATTAAATTATTTTAAAGGATAAAACATTTAAAACTATTATAAAATGAAAGTATTCATTGCTAATTAATCATTTATTTTTATTAATAATGAGTAAACTAACAATAATCAAATAGAAATAACTTAATAAAAATAGTAAATTTTTTAATTATGATGATTAAAAATGAAAAGCAATAATTTTTATTTCATTAATTTTCTTTTACATTAACTTTATTTTTAATTCAATTACTTCATTAACATCCCATATTCATATTAAGAAGAATGATAAGTGATGAGTTTGGAATAAGATTTTCATATTCTTATACAAATTCAAGTTTACAAATTTAATTTTAAATGATACAACATAATTTTAAAAGCAGAATTTGAAGACAATAAATGTATTTATTTAGCAAAATTATCATAAAATCAACATAATTTGTAGCATTCATTAAAATAAATTCAACAGTTCAATTTATTAAATTTTAGATCTAAACTTATTAATTACCTGCTGTAACAGTACCAGCTACACCAAGTCCTGAAGTTGCAATTCGTTGGGATTGTTGTAACTGTGCAGGAGACAGACCAGCAATAGAAACAACAGCAGGTGTTGTTCCAGATACTACTCCTGTAACGGTTGTTGTTGTTAATGATCGCATCTGTCCAGCAGCAGCAGCAGCAGCCACCATTTCCTGAACAGTCATAGTAGTAGTAGTGCAACTGGATACAGTTACTGCTGGTCTCTGTGCACGTAGAGTTGATCCCAGTGCAGTGACAGTTGCAGTCTGTAAATTATTTATTAAAAAAATTACAAAAATATTTCTAAATAAAAAACAAAATAAATACTTGATAATAATGATGTAATGAAAATACTATTTATTGAAAGAATATAATTATTTTATGAATAAATCTGCAATTGTTTTAGTCTCTCAGTAACCAGGACTGCTAAGAGAAGAACACTGAAGAAATTATCTGAAAGCCTATGGAAAATAATAAGCTATCATAATATTTACAAATTTCAAGAAATTTTCATAATTTTGACAAGTTTTAAACAAAATGAACCTAATTATTGTTACATAAATATCCAAAATTTATTTCTATGATGTGTAGTATGAAAAGAGACCTATCATTAATACTGAGAGATAGACTAGAGTTCATCAAGTCTAAAGCTTGCCTCTCTGCAATGCTATCAGCAACATCTTCAATTACAGAGAGGCTATATCAGTCATCAAATTTAAAAACCAAAAATATTTGTCAATTTAAGTGTACATATTTGATTCAATAAAATAATTTTAAATTTTAATTTTTAATGGAAATTAATTATTTTTCCACTACTTCAGATGTTTTCTGTGAGTAATTGATTCCACAAAAACAGCATGTAAATGAAAACCACATAAACGCAGCCATGAAAAGTTGTTTAAAATAGGGGTTTGTTCTATATTCTCAAATTCAGTATTTTATTCTTACTCAGGTGGAAAGTTTAACTAAATTTTTTTTTAAAATATACATTTATATATATAAGAAGTTACTGATAACAAAAACCATATTTTGATGTAACTATCATTTATTTCTATAAAATTATTTAAAATTTTCAATCAAATTAAAGTGAATCCAAGTAAATAGAGAGATTACTGTATATGTAATTTACACAAAAGCTTAAATTTCTGTATTTCTTTAAAAAATAATTGAATTTAAGAAAAATAAAAAAGTTATCAATAATTTAAAAGATATACTTTTACATTTTTGTAATTTATAAATAATAAATCTAGGATATTAAGAAATTCATTAATTCTTTAATGAACTAATAAATAATCAACATTATGAATATTTATTCATCTTTTAACTGAAAGGTATTATTATTTCTTTTATATTCAGGCTTATTCTTTTCAAATATTTACTTGCACTTCTAGATTAGATCAATGCTTCCTATTGTATTATTTTCATTACTGTGCAAAGTTATTTATAATAATTTTATTATTATATTTTAATTATCCTTAATTCAAGTTTTATTTTTAAATATTACTGAATCAATTTATCTTTAGTGCCCAATTTATAAATAAAATTATGCTATAATTTTTATAATGTTGAGAAAAGTTTGTTGTTGAATAAAATGTTAATTTATAATTCATTTGTTTATGAAATAGTTTTGAACTATGAAATTTTTAATATATAAATATAATTTGTTTCTTCATTTTCTCTCCTTTTCCATCTTAAACACTACAACATACAATACAAGAAAATAATTGTAATTTATTCTACAAAAAAATGAAATTTGGGATATGGCAGAAACATGACATGTTTGTTTGCATGCAATGCTTCTGCCAGATGAAATATCAATAAATCTGTATTAGAATTTATAACTTACTGGTATTGTCCCTTGTGCTGCAACGGCATTTGTTGTTGTTTGCCCTAGAGTTTTAGTTATACTACCAAATGTACTTGTGCCATTACCAGCTGCTGTATTAACAACAATTCCACTGGGTAAAGATTTAGCCAATGATACTGTAGTGACTGTTCCAGCCTGTAATCCTGTTTTAACTTGCTAAATCAAAATCAAAATAATACAATTAAATAAGTTGCTAAATTTCATATATCCTATTCAAATAACTATTTTTTAAATAAATAAACCAACAATTTTTAAAATTAAAATATTTTGTTTTAAATTAACTAAACAATTTTTTCTAACATGAAGTACAAATAATAAAATTTTTATTTATATTTTAAATTAGATTCACTAAAAACATTTAATTTATTTATAGAAACATGCAACAATATCTTTCCAACATGATTTTATATGTATCAAAATTTCAATGATTTCTTTTTAGTGACTCTAGTAATTTACACTAAAAAGAAATGTATCATCATCAATCATCTAACAAAATAAAACTCCATTATATGCACTACATTCTTATTCATTTTATTTTTAACTATTGAAGTTCATGTGTAATAAATACTTCTGTGTAAACCAATGATTTTCTTGCTTTTGTCATGAATTAAAATTGTTTTGGATGGCATTGCGACTGGTGTTTAAGTGTTTATGGCATCTCCATAAACACTTCCTCTCTAGTATCTCATTTTTGAACATTCAGTTCTCTGTGCTGGCAGTCATATTCATCTGGATTCTCCTTTTTTGGCATTTGCCATCTTTCCTTTATAAGTATATTTTTACAAATAAATAAATCAAATCATAAACATCAGTTAAGGAAGTCAACATTTTTATTATAGAAAAAAATTTTGATCAAAATCTGACAATCCTCAATTTAGAACAATAGTCATTGCCAGAATAATAATAAACCCAACATTCATTAGTCTACACAAGCAAAGGAAAATAGTCATACACTATAATGAACACAGAACTCGCATCTGTCCAGCAGCAGCAGCAGCAGCCACCATTTCCTGAACAGTCATAGTAGTAGTAGTGCAACTGGATACAGTTACTGCTGGTCTCTGTGCACGTAGAGTTGATCCCAGTGCAGTGACAGTTGCAGTCTGTAAATTATTTATTAAAAAAATTACAAAAATATTTCTAAATAAAAAACAAAATAAATACTTGATAATAATGATGTAATGAAAATACTATTTATTGAAAGAATATAATTATTTTATGAATAAATCTGCAATTGTTTTAGTCTCTCAGTAACCAGGACTGCTAAGAGAAGAACACTGAAGAAATTATCTGAAAGCCTATGGAAAATAATAAGCTATCATAATATTTACAAATTTCAAGAAATTTTCATAATTTTGACAAGTTTTAAACAAAATGAACCTAATTATTGTTACATAAATATCCAAAATTTATTTCTATGATGTGTAGTATGAAAAGAGACCTATCATTAATACTGAGAGATAGACTAGAGTTCATCAAGTCTAAAGCTTGCCTCTCTGCAATGCTATCAGCAACATCTTCAATTACAGAGAGGCTATATCAGTCATCAAATTTAAAAACCAAAAATATTTGTCAATTTAAGTGTACATATTTGATTCAATAAAATAATTTTAAAAAATACTTATATAAAAATATAAATAAAGTCACCTGATAAATTCATTGCATTATCTATTATCTTTGATAAATGATAATGCTAATTATTTATTTTAAATTTGCAAATCTTGGATTTATCTTGGACGTAATTTTCTGATATCGAAGGAAAATTTTGAATAGCTAATAAGTTTGTATTTTATTTGTTTAATTAACTAAATCCTATAACAGTAAGTTAGTGTAATTAGCAAATAATTTGGTTTAATAATAAACTGAGTTAATGTTGGCAATCTACTTATTTTGTCAATTCTTCCTTCCTATATTGTAGTAAAATGAACATACTTTAAATTAAAATTTTGTAATTTAAAATATTTGAATAAATTCAATAATAAAACATAAAAAGTTAAAAATGGCAAAATTTATTATAATTATGGCATTTAAATAGTAATTCTTGCACATAAAATTATAGAAAAGGTCTATATACAACAGTTTTTCCATAATTTAATGCAATTTGGATTTAACTTTTTAAAACATTAAAAATTTTATGTGAAAATAATTTTAACAATTTGAAATATCTTAAAAATTACCGTGTATCTCGGCAGATAAGATGAGATATAAATTTTCATCAAAGTTTTATAGTTTTAGCATATATCTGTCCTATAAGATGACCCCCAAACTATCAACAGCCTATGAATTTAGTTTAGATCAGCAATCATCATCCAAATAATAATAATACTGTATAGCAGGGGTGGCCAACCTTTTTAGCAAGCGGGCCAGATTTCAGAAATAATATTTCCTGCCGGGCCACGCACCTAGTATTTTTTTTGTTAATTAAAGTAAACAAGCAAGCGTGCTACAGCTTCAACCACATTTTTGCTTTCCAGTATGTGAGATCGTGGTCAAACACTTGCCTGGTTTAATGTAAAAAAAAAAACACAAAAAATAGATATATTTATTTTTTTGAAGAAAATAAAACATAACCGAGAATCATTTATTTAATAACCGAGAATCGTATTTATTAGACAATTTAAAAATATTTAAAAGTGAGACATCTGATTTTGTTTTACAAAACTAAGTGCATCAAAATTTATCTCCACTGATGTTGTCGCTACACGCAAACAGTTTTCCAAATGAACATCAGTAATTCGTGTTCTCACTTGTGATTTGATGTACTTCATGCGACTAAAAAGTTGTTCACACGCATAAGTATTTCCAAATAGCGAAACCGTCGACAGAGCATGTTTGTAAAACGCAGGATATTTATCCTTGCCCAAATACATTTCATAGAACTCTTCCAAACCTTCTTAACTCTAATGTTCATTTGGTGATATGTACAATAAAGTTAACATTTATGTTCATTTGACCTAGCTCCAAGGGCCGCAACACGACTCCTGGCGGGCCGCATGCGGCCCGCGGGCCTCATGTTGGCCATCCCTGCTGTATAGCATATACAGAATTATGTCCTATTTGTAATTTCTTATTTTTTTGCTAATGGCAGCATTGCCTTGCAACTGTTGCAAAACATTGGCACTCATTTAGAATTAGGGTAATGACCTTGACTATTGTCATATGGGCTATTCTATTTTGTGCACATACTCTACTCTCTTCTAGTAAATAATCACGGTTTGTCTGTCTTTTTATTACGGTTTTAATTTATATAAATTTCAATCTAATTTTTATGTATCTGTCCTGTAAGACAACCCCGGACTTTTTTTATGATTCAACTATCGTCTTATCTGCCGAGTTATAAGGTAAATGAAATTCTGTAATTTTCTATATAAAATAAATTAGTTTGGCATTAATTTCAAATAAGAAATAAATTTACCATTGCTTGTATTTGTTGAGCTTGTGATAAACTTGCAATAACTGCTTGAGCAGTTGGATGCTGTATTAACCCAGAGACTTGGCTGGAACCAGAAACTTGACCTGTTGCAGTTTGAGCTTGTTGTGGCTGTGGCTGTTGTTGCTGTTGTTGTTGCTGCTGCCTCTGGGCCAACTGTTGTTCTGATGAAGTGACAGACTAAAAATCAAATTATAAAACAATTATTAATTTTTAATGAAATAATTTTAATTAAGTTATCGACTATACAGATAATTATTTTAGAGTTGAACTTGGTTAATTCGAATTTTAAAAATTCCCTTTGAGTTTCCTATTAAATGTAATGGTTAAAATTACCTGTTTAATTCAATTTTTTTTCTAATTTTTAGATAATTTAAAATTGAAGTAGTCCCCTATTTCAAAAGTTATTAGTGTTTTCCAATTACAAAATATCTGTTTTCCAGGAATTGTTGCCTGACCTGTAGTTGTCCTTTCTCCTTTTGTGTCCTAGTTTATACACATACAATGGAAGTGGGAAGTGAGAGAGAGAAAGCAGTTGGTGACCCACTGTTTTTAAACATGGACTGTACTTGAAATTTCTAGAAAATTGAAATTCCCACTGCATCATGTCATGTGCTAACAATTCATCTTTAATTGTTTAATATAGTACAGTAAGTATGGTAGGCTTACTATACTGTCCATTTACTGTACAGTACAATACTTTAGAGTAGCAGTGTATTTTATTTTAGTTGCATTTTTTTACTGAACTGTATCATGTCCAAGTGTGGATCATACAATAATTCTTTAACTCTGGAGAGAAAGGTCAAAGTAATTAACAAAGTACAAAAAGGAATAAAGAGAGTAATGTAATTTTTGCTAAAGAATATGGTATACCCATAGCACTTTACCAACTTTCATGATAAATAAAACTAAAATCATAGACTAAATATTTGGAATAAAGAAGATGGTGCAAACGGAAAATATATGAGGGGAGCTAAGTATCTTATAACTGATGAATGTGTTTTAAAGTGGTTTCAAGAATCACAACAACATAATGTACCTTTAAGCAGCCCAGTGATATATATCAAAGCATAAGAGTTAGCCAAGAAAATAGAAATTATTGATTTTAAAGCAAGCTCAGATTGGTTTGACAGTTTTAAAGCTAGAAATAATTTAACATTTAGAAAGATTTATGATGAAAGTGCATTGGTAGATAAAGAAAAGACTGATGAATGATTTAGTGTCTGAACTTCTTGCTGATTATGAAACAAAAAATATGTTTAATGTTGAATGAACAGATCTTTTTTCTCAACTGTCTGCCAGACAAAACATTCCTCTTTAAAGGTGAGTGATGCAGTAGTGGCAAAAACAGCAAAGAAAAAAATAATGATTTTAATAGGAACAAACATGGATGGCACTAGAAATTTACCAATGTTAATTATTGGAAAATCTGGAAAAGTGAAATGTTTTAAATTGGTGAAAAGTTGACCTGTAAAATATGAATCCAACAAAAAGGATTGGATAACTAGTGAACTGTTTCGAAAAATAGCATGTAATACTGGAGAAGAAAATTTTACAGTGCTAATAGATAAGTTTGAATGTTTACCAATAATTACACTGCCCATCATAACATTCTTCAGCTGACATGCATTAAACTTGCATATTTTCTACTTAAATGACTTGCATTGGTGTAACCAATAGATCAAAGTGTCATTCAGAACCTCAAACATTTGTATTATCAACAAGTGGTTTGGAAAATCTCAGAAAACATAGATCCCAACAAGCAAATGAAAACTGATCTTGATGCAGTTCAAATGATATGCAAAGCTTGAAAACAAATCACAGGCCTTAACCATAATCAAGAAAATGACTTTGAAGTCACTTCAGAAGAACCTACAGTGATGCCAGTTCCAGAACAGTGGATTAATGTAATAGTTAACATCACTTATGATGCCTACATAAATATTGACAATGAAGTTTCAATTTGTGAACAGCTTGCAGACAGAAATTGTTAAGGAGTTAAGAATTAAGTTACAGAATATTCTAATGAAGATGAAAATGAACCTAATGATGCAAACAAAACACATTCCTATTCCAACAACTACAGAAGCTGTGGACATGTCAGAAAGAAATAAGATGGTTTGTATAAGCTGAAACTAATGTTACAAAGCACATCCATTCCCTGGATGAACTTGAAGATTTTATACATCGTATAAAAACAAAAATGAAAGTTTCAAATTTTTTCAAATAAAATACAGTAATGTAATTGTTTTCTTTACAATCATACTGTTGACTAAACATCAACAGTAATAAAGCATAGTTCAAATTAAGCAAATAGCAAAAAACAAACGCAAAACTGGTCTAGACTGAAAAAAAGAAAATGTGATTGTGAAATTTCAGCAACCAATCATTTACAAGCAAAGGAGAAATGGCAATAGTAAAACCAAAACACTTCTGACATTCTGTTTTTTAACCACTGTTGGATATTTGTTACAAAAAATAATATGTTAAAAAAAAGGATATTGGTGAGAAAAACATTTAAAAACTGTGAATTACAAGAATATCATCCTAATTTTGATGTCTACTCTGTTGAGTGATAATTTTGTAACCATTTTAAAAACCACTAGAAACACATGATAACAAATAAAACTATGATTAGTGGCAAAATTTTTTGCTAGTGAAAAAGTTTGACAGTTCCAAACTTCTGAGCAATTTGAAAAATGGTAAGATTTACTGGAAACAATGTCATATGACATGTTATTCACTCTCTTTTTTTTGTAAGTACACTGTATCTATACAACTTAATAATTATCAATGGAATTGGTTAATCTGAATTATTTTGCACTCCTCTTGAACTTCAAATTAACCATGTTTGACTGTATTTTAAAATATTAACAAAATAGTACAATATCAGAAAATTTTCTTACTGCTGCTGCTTGAGACTTTTGTTTTTCTCTATTGATTCGTTCAGCACGAATAGCTGCAACTTGTATAGGATTTAAAGGTTGATCATAATTGATTCCATTATCTACTAAAACTTGAGCGTGCTTTGGATTTTTACCAGCAGGGTTGTTCACATACCATGATTTTAATGTTGGTGTTCTTTTATTAGAGACAGTCTTTATTGTTTCAAATCTACTGTTATATAAACTGGTAAAAGATGCATTATTATCTTGAATATATAACTGACTGGTTCTCATTGGTCTGTTATTTTTAGTCTGTAAAATATTAAATGATGATTTTAATTTCATGTTTTAAACAGTATGCTTATAAATTATAAACCTTACTTCTTATAGCATTATTTTAATATTAAAAAATATATAAATAAATAGTGAATAGTATATTAAAATTTATATAAAAATCTCCTTGCAAAATCACTATAATAATTTATTAACTAATAAGATATGATATTCTATTTATATGCAAGAAAAATATAGAAAAAGTCATGAAAGTACTTCAAACTATAAAATCTTGAAATGACTTAAGAAAAAATTGTAAGAAATTATCAAGATCAGATAATTTAAATAAATGTAGCAACAAGCTACTGTGAAGATGTAAAAATTAATCTATTCTATTTTAAATATCATACCAAATTTTACCTTATATATTCCTTTTGATTTTTTCTGTTTCTTTGGATTAGTGTCATACAAAATTTTTCCTTCTTCACGTGGAACAATGACACTCTCATACCTATTTTTGCATTGTTTTGGAGAACGGAAAATTCTGCTTATAGAATTCACAACATCTGCAACCAGATCCCAATTTGGAATATGAGCAGGAGATAACACAGTTAAATTCAAAGGCAAGTCTTGCAGATTTTGAATTATCTATGAAATATTTTAAAAATTTTATTAACAAATGAATTACACAGAATAACATTTTTCTTCTACACTATTAATTTTTAGTACAAAATACAAATGAGAAGAATTGATAAATTTTTTAAAATAAATATATTTGAAATTTATTATAACACATTCATATTTTTTTAAACTTTTACCTGAAGAATTGCCCAATCTTCATGAATTAGCCATTCTGGGCTGTCTTGATCTGTGTCAACAGTTGGTTTATTCACAACAACTGGAGTATGTTTCACACTGGTCAAACCCAAACCTAATGATTTAGAATATGTAGTGGTACTCATCATAATGCCTTTTACTTTCTGAAGTTTGGCTTCTCTTCGCATTTTTAGAATTGCTGCAGTAGGACGATCAAACAGAGAACGTGGAATATGAACTGTTTCCTCTTTGCGAACTTTCTGTTTTCTTGTTGTAGTTACTATTTTATTAATAAAATTCAAATATAAGATTACACAAAAATAAAAATTAAACATAATTTATTCATTATATTTATAATAAAGGCATCCTCTACTTAATGTCAGTAATCCATTCCTGAAAATTAGACATTCTGTGAGAAAATGTTAACTGATAAGTCTATTTTCTATTGTAATAATTGAGAAAAATTATAACTCAACATAGCATTAATCAAAAACTCTCAACTAATTTCTGAAAACATAACTGAAGTATGCTGATATATATGTTACAAGTTATCATATTAGGATATAAAATGTTTAATGCATTGCCTTCTGATCACCAAATAATTAACACAATTGTTAATAAATAGTTGCTTTGTATATAGTAACATGTAAAATTTATATATTGTATCATTTATGAATAAATACTGCATAGCAATAAGAAAATTTGTTTTTAAAAAAAGGCAAACAAATATTAAGTTTCAACACATTCTTAACATTTCTGTTAGTTCTATAAATTTAATAATTAACTGACTAGTGTTACTGATGTCTGAAAACATGTTTAGGTGGTATTGGTATGATATAACTTATGATTCCTCTTCCAGTGCCATCTACATTCAACAAACATATTCTCTTTCTTGACACTTAGATCATTTAGAATCACATTTTTATGTGATTTTTCACCAATTATATTTAAAATGTAATTTAAAAGTTTTCCCATATATTTTGTGAACAATAATGCACTGAATTTTTTGGAATTAAGCAAAAATTTTCTTATATACACACTGGAAAAAAACAGTTGAGAGAAACATACTTCTATGAAGTTTAAGTATTATAAACCAAAAGATGTTCTAATGAAAAAATCTTAAGTGTGGGATGCCTACATTCTGTGAGGCCCAGGAAATAGCCCCTCCCCCTAAAAAAAGGAAAGATATGTAAAAATTTGTTATGTTAAATCGTCAGGAAAGCAAATTATAAGTGTCGAATCGGCGACACCCAACTTTGACGTCGACGCTCATCAAAAGTTGACGGGAAAACAAAATTTTAGATATAAAAGAAGAAATTTAAAATATTAAAAGTTAAGACGCAGTTTAGAAAGCAAAACGAAACTTGATAAAAAAATGTCTAGATGAGCGAAGGTGTCATAGTTAACAATTAAACGATCAGATTCGAAAAGATGGTGTCGGATAAACCATCTCCAACCGACCTTTTCCACAAACTTAACGAAGCTCCATTTACACCTGGAGACAGGTGGATGACCAATTGGAAAACGGTGATGTAAGATCTATCCAATTGACAAGGAGCCAATTGCAAAAATCCTATAAAAACGCAAAATTCAAGGACATCGGGACTTCCACTAAGACTTCCTCTAAGACTTTTCCACCTAGACTACATGTTGTGTTCGTTTATTGACAGCTGTTGTGCTTTTTTTTCATCTTTTGTGTGCTGTCACTGCAGATCTCGAACTTCTCACTCGACGCAGTCACGGGGCCCCTCCAGCATAGGACCAGATCGACACCGAAACCAACTTACGAAGACAACCCGAAGTTCTGAACTTAAGGACCTTTGCCAACAAAAATTATGTAAGCATTATCATCCGGAATAAACGGTTTACCTTTGTAAACACTTGTCTTTGCTGCCTTTAAAAACCGCCACCCACATACGCTAAGACCTTAGACCATCCCGACGGTAGGGAATAAAAATCTCCCCCCAATCGGCGTTCTTACAATTTCAATTAAATTAAAATATGTTATAAACCAAAAAAATTTTAAAAACAGTTTATCTACATATTCTAAAATTTATAAACTTCCTTACAGCAGATTCAAAATGAATATCACTAGAAGAAAAATAATCAAAAATGTTTTATTTATTATCTAATCAAATTACATGTAGAATATTTATTTACGTTATCAAAATGTATGCTTTTAATTGTAAAATATGTCCATTAAAATATAATTTAATTTTTACCAATAAATAAAATTTCAATCAAAGTCTACATAAAAATATAATTAAATATTTTTTACAATTAAAAAAGTAATTAATAAGTTTTCATACCTGTTACTGTATTATCAACCTTCAGACGTTTTGTTTCTTTTTTTACATATATTGGAGGAAGCTGTGATTCAGGCATTATTGTGTGTTCATAAAGAAATCCCATACTGTAATCAATATACAAGTCATTTTCTTCTTGTGGTGGTGTTGGAGGTGCCCATATCTAATATTTGAATGACAATAAAATATTAGTTAAATAACTAAAATTTTAGATTCCTCATTGAAGAGAATGTATTGATAATTAAGAATAAAAAATCAAAAGTTGTTAACAGTATAAATATTCACAGTTAATTATATAGTTAAATATTATGTAACTAATATAATCTGACGTTATTATCATATGATTTTCTTTACTTTTCATTAATGCACTTTTATTTTAAACCCTAAAAGTCATCCTGTATTGATTATTAAATTGTATTACAAATGCTTCATTAAAGTGTATTTAATATGCCTCAAAAAGCATAAATACAACATAAAAAAAAGACAATCTTACACTGTGTTGTCCACATGGCCCAAGTGGAAGGCTCAATTGTAAAGTGGGAGGAGGCCAACATCATACAACCAGTGCATTCACCATTGTTAGAGACAAGTACAGAACAGTTAGAAATATATAGAAGGAAGTTAATGGACAGGTGTCCAAATGCTAGGGATGCTGAAAGATTACCATCAGCATGGAAATACATCATACAGGAAAAACTAAAAAATGCCAGTTTATAGATAGCCCTTCGATCAAAGAAGCAGTATTACATTTTCATTTCTGGCTTCTCATTACATATTAACACATTTGTAGTAATTATATTTTGTTTCATTTTTTATTACAGTAGAACCTCGAAAACTCGGCTCTCGATAACCCGGCACTCCGGATAACTCGGCCACACCCTGGCAGGGCAAAAAAATCCTTAGTTAATTAATTTTCATTATAGACAGCTTTATAAAAGTATAAAAGCTCTCATAAAGTATTTTTCTGAGGTCTGTCTTATCAGGTAAATTACTGTACACAGTGTATTCATTAATTTTCATTTTCATGTAGTAAAGGCTCTATGCCTTCATAAAGGACGTACTTTTCCTTTGTTTAAGGGTATTTGGGCAGTTTATTCTCTGTTATATTCTCAAGTAAACAATACATACAAGTACAGTATAGTATTTTCTGAGGAAACACTCATACTTATTTTTTTTAACCCCATTCCCGATAACCCGGCATTTTCACAAACTCGGCCACTCTTCAGTCCACAATAGGCCGAGTTTTTGAGGTTCTACTGTATTAATTTAATTTGATTTTGTGTAATGCTCATCTTTTTAAAATTGTTTTATGTTCTTTTCTTCATATTTAAATTTATTATATTCAAAATACCGTTGGAATGTTGTATTCTAATGATTGAATGTAATAATGCTTGAGGATTGCTTGTAGAACAAGGAAAAACGATTGTAATTATTAAATGTTTTCTTTGGCAAAATGAAGTGTTGTATGTGGTTTATCTTACAGTTCTTCAAATTAATACAGTGGGTGATCAGTTAACGAACATAATCCGTTCCAAGACTTTGTTCGCTATCCAAATTGTTCGTTAACTGATTATCAATTTACCATAGGTTTCTATGGGAATTTGATTAATTGATTCTGGAGACTCCCAAAGAATAAAAAATATATACTTTCTTACTATGTTTATTCATATGTAATAATAAAAATACATATATACATGGGTCTTGCATTTTTATTTGTCAGGTTTTTTCTGTTTGTGGCGGTTAAAGAATCTGTCCAATGTTGATTGCTTTTCTGTCTTCTTCATGATTTTTCAGAAGTAATTAATTACATTGTAATTGTAGAGATCCCTAAGCCTATTAACCTTAACCTGGTTTGGATGCCATTTTAAGACCACTGTTCTGACATCCTCCCACTTCAAAAGATCTTTAATTAATAGCAGATATTGGCATAAATCCACTTTTTCAGAAAAAAACATAAAAGAATTTTTCTATCAGAAATATAAAAGGCTGGAATTACAAGGGAGAATTTCAAAGTTCGGGGGAATACTATCTGATCAGTATATACTGGGTTGAACATTGATGTCAACGTCTCCCACACTCCGAAACGTTTCGAACTGTTGCCTGAAGATAAAGGAAGACCAATCGGTATTTGTTATTTTATATTGCTTCTTCTTGTGTTTGTTCAGTGAAGTGTTCGTTGTCCGATCATAAAAATCGTTCACAAAAGTGTTCATTATCCGATTTGTTCGTTAACNAGTTGTATTGTTCTGTTATCCTCATCGAGATAAAAATCTTGTACTAAATAAATTGAGAATAAAAATAATAATTTTTGAAATTTAATTGCTTTTTGTTCTTTCAATCAAGTTATTTCTGAAGGCAGAACTGAACAAACCTGAAAGTGTTTAAGACATTAAAAGATATTTAATCTTAAAAGGATTTATGTAGAAGTTGTTTAAAATTTAAATTGTGATTAAAACTGTCATTAATGGATTGAAGCATTAATAAACTTTATGTAATCACTCTTTGATGTCTGTTTTGTAAAAGTGTAATTTTGAACAATTTTTGTTATATATTTTTTTTAGTGAAGAAATTAAAAAACAAAATTAATATACTTTTATAATTATTATATTTCCTTGATTAAATCCTGGGATTTTACTTTTAAAATGTACTTATCTCTGGTGTTTATATAAGTGTAAACTCCAGTCTCAAAAAAGACTCAAGAGTCCTATTTGAGACGGGGGTTTACACTTGAGTAGGTAAAATTGGAAGAAACACCTTAATTACTCATACATATTTTGAGCTATCAAAACCATTTATTGACTGTATAACATTTGACATAATTACTGTCTTCATAGTTAACTTGATTCAGTGTCTTCCAATTCAGTTATTACAATGTCATGCATATATGTTTCAAAGCCATTAAAGAAATCAAGGTATTGACTACCATCTTCTCACAAAACTCACTATCTCTTTCCAATTGGAGTTTTCCTACTTACCATTTGGCATCTTGACTTTTGAAATAGTGCTAGCCAATGCTAGACAATTTAAAAGGGTAGAATTTTATTTAAACTTCTTACTTGCCGTTTTAGATTACATTAACCTATACAGTGCAGTACTTCAATATGTTTTCCATGCTTTTCAGCCTGGCATTTAATCAAGGAAATACAGTATTTATGTAATAGACATTATTCATAAATATTTATCTATAATATTACAGATAAATAAATAAAAAAAATGCTTAAAATATGAAAGAAAAAAATTTGAAATGATATTGATAACTTTTAGAAAAATTGTTATTTATTAATTAAAACAAAATATTTTTTAAATATGACATATCAGAACACAATCAACTCCAGTTTTTCAAACGATAGAAAATAAAATCACTTTTGTTTCTTTTGTTTTTTTTTTTGTTTCTTTTTTTACTCTTACTGCCATGTAGGCATTAACAGGTTCTCTTCTTTTGTTCTTTACAAAAGCTATTATTCTTCAAAGACTTTTCAAAATAATATCACTCATGTTTTGATAGTTTTTATAATTATATAAAAGGTTCTGTAGCCAAATCAAATTTTTTATATGGTATATCATTCTCCTTAGTGTAAAACCATAATGTAGCAGTTTTCAAGTTCTTAAGCTTTTTTATAGCATAGAAATATCTGAAATCATAGCTTAATTTCAGTGTTTAATTTTCCTTCACTTTGTGAACATTTTTAAAAAAACTTTTTAAAATATGGTGTTATCTACATTATTATTATTATTATTATTATTATTTTAAATCAAAAAGATTTATTTTAGATTTTTTGCCACAAAATCTGAATCTTAAAAAAATAAATGAAACTTCAAATACATTTTAGCCCAGGAATGCACCTGCAATTATCTATTGTGCAACAGTTGAAAATACAATAATACTATCTCCATTTTTTTACATTTGCAAGAGATAAAAAAAACAATTTTTTTCAGACTTTTTAAAGATTGGACAGTAGTTTAAAAAATTTTAAACTAATTTTTTAATAATTAAACTTTGATTTTGCTGCCAATTGTACTGAAAATTATTGCAGAATTTTTTGTAACTATTTCAATCAAAACTTGCCATTAAAAAAAATTTCCTACTTTTTAAAACAGAGGTTAAAAAAATAAAAATAATGATTTTCAATCTTTTTTAATTGCAATTTCAATTTTTCTACCAAAAATATAGGTTTATATCATTACTAAACCTTAATATTATTACATTGTATCCTACTACTGAGGAAATCTTTATTTTAGATAATTTTTAATGTTAGACAAAAACAGGAATAAGCCATCAGTTACCACACTTATTATTATAATTTTTTCATTCATATAGAAAGTGAAACAGGAAAGGTAAGCTTTTATGCTCTGTCTATAACTTTTATGATTTATTTTATTATTGAACTAGGGCAAATAACTTTTCAAATCTAAATTTTTTTTATTTCAAATGCCTGAAACTAATGTAAAACAATATAAATGAGCTAAATGTAATTTTACAATTTGGATATAGGAAATGAATATACTCAGAGATAAAAGCAAAAATATTATCCAAAATTTCAAAGAAAGAAGTATCTTTGGGAGATATCTTATGCAATAAATGTTGCAAGTTGCATATCTAAAAACATGAAAGAAACTGAGTGAAGCAATAAGTCTTGTAATAGATTCGTGACAATATTCTTTTTACAATCAGCAATTGTCAATATTTTTATCACAATCATCTGCTTCTTAAAGTTCAAATTTATCAAAATACATAATACAAAATCCACAAATTGAATACATAGAAATGTCATTTATCAAGAGTTGTTTCAAGTTGCAAAAACTGTTTCATTTGTGGATTATCAACTAAAATTATTAATCTCTATTTGACAGCAATCCTTTATAAAGAGCATTTATGCCTCCAGGAAATCATTTCTACCCAGTCATTTAATAAAGATAAGATTGCAATATCTTCAAATATCAATGTACTAGATGGACAGCTGAAGCAGTTAAAGTGTTCACCTATCATTGTCCCAGATATGTTGGTCCCTCTCCTTCACTACCTAGCTTGCTTCAATGCAGACCTGGCCAAACATAATAGGTTTGAAAAAGATATTTTTAGTATCCACAGAGAATAAGGCCTGGAATGCAGATACAATTTTCTGTCACAGGATTGTTAGTCATAAAAATGGGAGGGAAACAGTTTTTAATACAAATGCATATA